AATAAAATAAAAAAAAAAAAAAAAAATATATATATATATATATATATATATATATATATATATATATAGTTTTTTTTTTACTGATTTTTTACAGAGAGGAAGAGATAGGGATAGGAAGTTAGAAACATCGATGAGAGAGAATCCCTAATAGGGATGTGCTCGCAACCAAGCTACATGCCCTTGACCAGAATCGAACCTGGGACCCTTCAGTCCGCAGGCTGACACCCTATCCACTGAGCCAAACGGGTTTCGGCTGCCAAGTGCCATTTGGATCATTTGAGGGCCACACAAAAATTATCAACTTAAAAATTAGCCTGCTCTATGGGGAGGGGAGGGAGATCTGGGGGAGATAAGAGATCAACCGAAGGACTTGTATACATGCATATAAGTACAACCAATGGACACAAAACTCTGGGGAGGGAGGGTATGTATGGGGGGAGGGCAATGTTAAAATATGTACACAGATAATAATTTAATTTTAAAAAGACCAAAAAAATAAAATAAAATAAATAAAAGATGTCTTTTGCTGGTTAAAAGTTTAAAAAATATTTTTTAAATTAAAAAAAAATTAGCCTGCTATATTTGATCAAATATTTAATTAACTCATCCCTAATGCCTTGGCCAGACCAAATGATTTTGCAGGCCTTACATAGCCTGTCAGCTGGACATTCCCCGACCCCTGCTTTACTAGTAGATGTTGAGGCTACATCAGAGAAAAGAGCAATCCACTTTGTATTGTATTAAAATGATATTAGGTTAACCAGAGTGAGTTTTCTCGCTGTCAGGTTTCATCAAGGGATGCATTGGACAGTGTAGGTGGGAAGAGCATAGGGTTGAATATTTGAAAGGTAGAAACATCAATGATAAAAGAGAATTATTGATTGGCTGCCTTCTGCATGCCTCACTCTGGGGATCAAACCTGCAACCTGGAATGTGTCCTGACCAGGAATCAAAGGTTAGACCTCCTGGTCCATAGGTTGATGCTCAACCACTGAGCCATGCTGGCCAGGCTACATAGGCAGTTATTAATGGAGAGCCCATTTCTTTGGCCCTTCTCCTGGGCTAACTCCCCACCAGATCCTCTCCTGGAATTCCTCTCCCTCATTTTTTTTTCTTTTCCCAAATGGCCTCTGATCTCCATCAGCTTCTTCCTCCTACATCACTTTCTCTTCCTCCAATGCTCCACCCACAGTTTCTCAACTAGAGTTCAAAAACTGTAGAAGGCACCCAAGCTGGTTTGGCTCAGTGAGTAGAGTGTCGACCTATAGACTGAAGGGTCTCGGGCTAGATTCCAGCCAAGGGCACATGGCTGTGGGCTCAATCCCCAGTTGGGGGCGTGCAGGGGGCAGCTGATCAATGGTTCTCTCATTGTTGATGTTTATATTATCTCTCTCTCTTCCTCTTTCTCTCAAAAAAAAAAAAAATCAATAAAAACATTTAAAAAAAAATTGTGTAGGGCCAGTCATCTGCTTCTCCTTTTGATACCTTGCTTTAGGCCACTGTGTTAGGGAAAAACACTTTAAAAACATTTTAATAATGTACTAATGTCTTTAACCTGAAGTCAAAACTTCTGGGTAAGGGTAATGTCTTACACAGTGGTCAGCAAACTCATTCGTCAACAGAGCGGCAACCCGAACTGCATATGGCTCGCGAGCTGCAGTTTGCCAACCACTGATTTAGGCTCTTCTCAGAGGCTTCCCTTTAGGTTTTGGTTTGAAAGGTACAGATGCTGAATATTTTTTCTCTTTGCATTCCTGCTATAAGAACCCCAATTCTTACCCAGCCAGCATAGCTCAGTGGTTGAGCATTGATCTAGGCCAGTGGTTGGCAAACCTTGGCTGGCTAGCCACATGCGGCTCTTTGGCCCCTTGAGTGTGGCTCTTCCACAAAACACCACATGCGGTTGTGCAGGTACACTGAGACTGAAACTTTGTGGCCCATGCGCAGAAGTTGGTTTTTGGCTCTCAAAAGAAATTTCCATCGTTGTACTGTTGATATTTGGCTCTGTTGACTAATAAGTTTGCCAACCACTGACCTAGGTAATCACAGTTCAATTCCCCAGCAGGGAATATGCCCAAGTTGCAGGCTCCATCCCCAAAGTGGGGCGTACAGGGAACAGCCAATCAATGATTCTCTCTCATCATTGATGTTTCTATCTCTTCCACTTCCTTCCTTTCTGAAATCAATTATACACACACACACACACACACACATACACACAAACTGAGTGGCCAGATTATTATGACCTCTGAATGCATAATAATCTGGCCTCTCAGTATATATCCTATATAATAAAAGGCTAATATGCACATTGTCCCCACAACCAGGAGTTTGACCAGCAGGCAGGCAGGCCAACCACCCATGTCCCCTCCTCCTGGCCAGGCTAGCCAGACCCCCCCACCCATGTACCATGTATACACACACACACACACACCGCTAAATGGCCAGATTATTATGCGTTTAGAGATCATAGTAATCTGTCCACTCCGTGTATATATAATATATTTAAAAAGAACCCCAATTCTCCTGGACACCTTTGGTCTCTAGGAAAGGTCCTGAAGTGTGGCAAAGAAAGAAAAACATGGGGAGTAACATTTCAAATCTCCTTTTGCTACGTGGAGAAATAAATAAGTGGGGTTTTGTGAGAGGCTTTGAGGAGCTACTTCAGATAGAGTAGTTGGGGAAAGTCTCTCTGAGGAAGTGACATTTGAATTGTGACTTGGAAGATAAGAATGAGTCAGTTAGAGCATCCATCACAAAAGCCTAGGACAGGAGAGATTCTGGCATGTTTCGGGGTCTGACAAAAGGTCAGAGAACAACTTCTTTGCTTTTCTCTCCCAACTAATATTTGCTACTATTAACACACTAAAAACAATAACCAAAATTTGGATTTGAGAAAACTATACGTAAGTATGAATAGTCCATGAACTGTATTTTTCCTCAGTTTATAAGCACATGCAGACATACATGCTGTTTGTTGTCTTTGGCATTCATACGCACAGACAGAAACAGAAGCCAACATGATTCTGGCAACTAAGAAAATAAATAGCTAAAGTTGAGTGCACCTCAACTGTCCACTGAAGAATTGCATAGGTATTGTTTAAGAGCCTTAAAAGATCAGACAAACAAAACTGTTTATGAAGAAAAATGCTTAAATTATGTCAAATAAAAATTCAGGATGTAAAACTACAAATGTAATGATTTCAATTATTACAAAAATAACAGCCCTGGCAGGGTAGCTCAGTTGATTAGAGCATAGTCCTAATAGGCCAAGGTTTCGGGTTCTACACCATTAGGGCACATACAAGAATAAACCAGCCCTGGCCAGTTTGGTTTAGTGGATAGAGCATCAGACTGCGGACTGAAGTTCATGGGTTCGATTCTGGTCAAGGGCACATGCCCAGGTTTCAGGCTCCATCTCCAATAGGGGGCTTGCAGGAGACAGCCGATCTATATGATTCTCTCTCATCATTGACGTTCTGTCTCTCTCTCCCTCTCTGAAATGAATAAGAAAACATATTAAAAAGAGAAAGATCCTTTTCTTTGCTGAGTGAATGCAATGTAGAGAAAAGAGCACAAGTTGTTCAGGAAATAGATAAAAGAGATTTGAACTAGGGTGGTGGGCAGATGTAATAAAACTAACAGAACTGCACTGGACACGGAGAACAAAGGTTTGGTTAGCACCATCTGCCTAGATAAGAAAGATGAGGGTGGAGATAGGAGGATAAAGAATTCCGATTTGAATAGTTCCGTTTTTGAGATGCCGGTGGGCCTTCAAGGAGGAGCTATCAGTAGACATCTGACTCTGCATAATCTCCTTTGACCTGCGATCGAGGCTTTAGATGTAGATGAATCTGGATACGGGGCGTGAGAGCTTTCCACTCCATCTGGCGGTTAACTTAAGAAACTAAAATAATATCTAGGTTCCTGTGTGCTAAGGGTAGCCAAGCAGCGCAGCTTCCAGGGCCGGCTATGGCGAAGGCCCATACTTCAGTATTTCCTTGACTGGGACGCACACCTAAAGGGGCTGAATCACAGCCTGTGCGCCAAGGCGCCCCTACTACGCATGCGGAAAGCCAGAGGTCACTGAGCGCGCTGCCTGCTGGGATTTGTAGGCTGACTACGGCCGTCGTTTGCGCAACCTCTTTCAGACGCCCTGAGTCTGCATCAGTCCCTGCAAAATCAATGTCAGAAACCGCAAATCCGATCATCCTTTCGTGCTTGTAATCATTTAGCAATGGCAATGACTTCTCATCAGTTAACTTATCCGGAGTCCTAGCAATGACATTAAAAAATGACTTTCATCAGGGGGTTGGTACCCGTGCTAGCCTTTCTCTTAACTATTCTTCAAGACTATACTGGACGCTGCCTCCGACAAGGGGCTCGCTTTGGATCTCTCTTCTGTGCTTCTGTAGCACCCTCTTGCAATTCTTTTTTTAAATATGTATATATATATTTTTTCATTGGTTTCAGAGAGGAAGAAAAAGGGAGAGATAGATAGTAATATCAATAATGAGATTAGCCCGCAAAGGGGAATCGAACCGTGACCTCCCGGTTCACGGGTTGACTCTCCACCACTGAGCCACGGCTGCCAGGTCAATTCTTTAATAATAATTATAATCATGGCCAGTCTTCCTGAATACTTACTAAACCTGCTCTCCCTCTATGCTTATGTTACCCCTGTTAGCTCATGAATCCTCACGCAGCTCTCTGAAACGGTTGCTATTATTATTTTTATTTTGCAGATTTAGACCTTCTGGTTTAAGAGAGGTTATGCAATCCGAACAAGGTCGCGTTGAAGTGTCTTGTTTACTCCCGTTGAGCCTCTCTCATTGGACCACGAGCTCCAGCCCCGCACGGACGTACCAGCTTTTCGCTCTCCCGTGGGCCACGCCCCGGGGGGCGGGGCTCCGGTGACGCCGCCGCCGCGTCCCATGGTGCACTGCGCGCCCGCTCTGCGATTGGCCGGGCGGCGGGGCTCTTTTTTTTTCAAATTGAGGCGCCTTAGTCGTTGCTCGGTTTCCTGCGCATCTGGCGGGGGCTGGATCGCTGGCGTGACGGTCCCGGCCGCTGCGGGGCTACCTCGGGGCCAGTCGGAGCCCGGCGCGGAGAGCGGGGACGCCGGCTGCTTCCGTCGATCCCCGCCCACGCCCAGCCAGCACCCCGGGCTGGGGAGGTGGGCATCCATCCCAGCCCGCGCCAGGACCCGGCCGGCCTTGTTTTTTCGGAGGTCCCCGTCATGGCGACCCAGCCGAATTCCTCCACGAAGAAGAAAGAGGAGAAGGGGAAGAACATCCAGGTGGCGGTGAGATGCAGGTAAGGGCGAGCCTGGTGGGAACCGGGACGCCGGGCTTGGCTGCTGGGCTCCCTCTCCTGCGCGGTCGGAGGAGAGGGATTTTTTTTTTTTTTAATAATTTTTTAAAAAAAATTTCGGATGGGACCTCACCTTTTGTGCTTCATAGTCCCCTCCGCATTCTGTGGAATTAAAGTGATACTTGTCCCCGTGAGGAGTCAATTAGTGTCTTTCTCAGAAGAAAGGATATGGGGGGGGGGGGGGGAGAGACACAGACATTCCCCCTTGCACCTCCTAAGGCCTCCCAGCGAGGCTAGTATATTGACATGAGACAGGTTAGCAGGAGAGAATGTTCAGAGTTTATTATGGAAGTATATGGCAGGGATGCCATAAGAGTATGAGACTCCAAGATGCACTGGGCATTGACGGTTTAATATGCCACTTGGGACAAAGGAGAAGGGGGCAGGGGTGTAGGATTTGAAAGGGGAAGAGACAAGATACGGGTAGAGGGAAAAGCAAAGTCTTGCTGGACCATCCAGAAGCAGGTACACAGAATGAAGATCAACAAACTGGCTTCGCTCCATTTCTGTGTGCTTGCTACATTTAATTGTATATCATGGTACTAACTAAGGCGAATGCTCCTTTCCTTTAAGCCGGTGTTTGTATCTGAACTCTTTTAGGCAGGTAAGGGGGAGGGTTTTTCCCCCCCCTCGAGAGTCATTAATAACCAGCCTCAAATCAAAATCCCAAAAGGCGCATTTTGGAATTGCAAATCTTTGGTCCCCTCCAGATATTTGTGTTGGAAGTTATATAGTTTAACAGCTGTATTCAGAAGGAGAATTTGATCGCTGTTTTTAGTGCAAAGTGCGTTCTTTTTAAAAAAGTAGTGTCGACAAAGATTTAAGTGTCACTTGTATATGCCACTCCTGAATAGCCATTTGGCAGATGTTTTAGTACTTAGATTGGGATCGCCATCCTCCTTATCACCTCAAAAAATGCAACCAATCACCTGTCTATTCTAGATGCAATATTTTCTTAATCCCTATGAAACACCACTGTATTTAAATGTTAAAAATTAAGTTACAGAGTGAGTTTGTGTTTTTAAGAGGGCAAGGAGACTGCTTAAGCCAGGATAGCCATCGGCTTGTGCTGCAAGTCGGTCTTTCCTAGAACAAAGGAGACAGCCTTCTCAGGATGGTGGATGGAGGTGGTCAGCTCTCCCCTGATTTGTTTCCTTAAGATTAGATGGTACAGGAAAAACACACTTGAACAAACAGTTGCTAAATTAGAGATTGATTTATTCAGCTTTTGAGGAGCTCTCCACAGTTTACCGGTGAATGTGTGTTTTGCATATTTCATTGTTTGCTGTTGTTTTAACATCTTCAGCAAATTTTCTGTAAATCCAAAAGTATTCTAAAATTAAATGTTATTTTTAAAATGTGTCAATGGACTTTCCCAGGTTATTGTTTAGTTTGTTTTGGTGACTTAATTGTAGATATCAAAAGGCTTAAAACTAGATTCTAATCTAGTTGCCAGAGAGGAAGTTTAGTGGTAACCTTATGTCGAATATTCAGTTGCATTCTAGGGCTTCTGTTAATAGTTGCTTAAGTTTTGATGGTTTTTTAAAAAAATAGCAGCCTGTTTTACAAATGAAAAATTTTAGATTATTTTGATCCGTTAAATAAAGCCAGGCAATATTACATTGATGTGTGGTTTTATTTTCTTTATTTTTGTTACAAAATATGTCAAGCCTATAAAAAGTTGTAAAGAATACTGTAATAGGCCTGATTGGCTCAATGGATAGAGCATCAGCCTGCGGACTGAAAGGTCCCAGGTTCAATTCTGGTCAAGGGCATGTACCTTGTTTGTGGGTACATCCTGAGTAGGAGGTGTGCAGGAGGCAGCTGGTCGATGTTTCTCTCATCATCGATGTTTCTAGTTCTCTATCTTTCTCCCTTCCTCTCTGTAAAGAATCAATAAAATATATTTTAAAAAAAAAGAAAGAATACTGTAATAGACATCTGAGTATCTATCACCCAGATTAGAAACAAAAATAGTCATTACGGCTGGAGCATCAGTGCATTCATCCCTCTCCCCAACCTTCTTCTTCTACTCCAAGAGTTAAACATTTCCCTGAACTTTGTGCTTATTATCCCCATAAATTTATTTTACTTTATCACTAATGAAAAGTGCTTAGGTTGTATGGTATAAAGGATGTTTTGCCGAAACCTGTTTGGCTCAGTGGATGGAGCCTAGGCCTGTGGACTGAAAGATCCCAGGTTTGATTCTGGTCAAGGGCATGTGCTTTGGTTACCAGCACATCTCCAGTGGGGGGTGTGTAGGAGGCAGTTGATCATGTTTCTCTCTCATCAATGTTTCTCATCGATGTTTCTAACTCTATCTTTCTTCCTCTCTGTAAAAAAATCAATAATAATTAAAAAAAAAAAAGAAACATTGATGAGAGAGAAACACCAATCAGCTGCCTCCTGCACACTTACTGGGGATGTGCCCGAAACCAAGGTACGTGCCCTTGACCGGAATTAAATCTGGGACCTTTCAGTCTGCAGGCTGTCGCTCTGTCCACTGAGCCAAACTGATTAGGGCAGGAAATAGCATTGATACAGACACACACATACACAAAACATCCTCTCCTCTTTGTATACTCTTCTACAGGTTGGCAGAAACCCTATTGAGAACATAATATAAAGATTTTAGGATTTAAGTTATTTTGGGGATTTTAATCTAAAGTGCTTAGGCAATTTAGGTCTTAACATATCTGAATTATTCATCTATTTTAAAGTATATCATTGTATTTTTTAACAGGCTCAGACCATCTTTCCTTAAACAGTAACCCAATATGACACCAGTTACCAAATGGAAAACAAAATTGTGATTCTGTATTAAATCCATAAAGAATTAAAAAAAATATTTTATTGATTTTCCACAGAGAGGAAGGAAGAGGGATAGAGAGCTAGAAACTTTGATGAGAGAGAAACATTGACCAGCTGCCTCCTCGTGCACACCCCCTCCCGGGGATGTGCCCGCAACCAATGTACATGCCCTTGACCGGAATAGAACCTGGGACCTTTCAGTCCGCAGACCGATGCTCTATCCACTGAGCCAAACCGGTTTCGGCCCATAAAGAATTTTTGAGAGGAAGGACAACTTGGAAAATAAAGACTTCAGAGTTCATTATCCCAAGTTAAGAACATTTTAGTTATTAGCAGTGGTTACAAATAAGCTGAAGGTAAATTTCTTCGACTTGCTGCTTATAATTTGCTTTGTTGAGAGAAGACTGTCCCACTAGTCCACTATACTATGGTGTAGGGTTTTTTTAATTCTTGAAAAAATTTTCTGTAGTTGGTATTTTGTCAGCCAGGCGTCACTCCTGCCATACTCCTCGCAGTAGGACATGAGGTCCATGGTGCTGCTGAAACCCTGATTCTTTCACTGGAGGCTTAACTGCTGCACAGTTCTTGCCGGGGCTCTGTTGTGGGTGTTTGCTGTTGTTTTGCTGGACATCTTTTACCTGAAGTCAGGCAGACTGTGTGGCCCAATGTTTGAGGTTTTAAGTAGAGGAATGAATCTGCCAGCGTACTGCTGCTGCCGCCACTGCTGTTGAACACCCAGTATCTGATTTTTAAAAGAAATATGTTTTTATTGATTTCAGAGAAAACAAAGAGGGAGAGAGATGGAAACATCAATGATGAGAGAGGTTCATTGATGGGCTGCCTCCTGCACACCACTCACCGGGGATTGAGTCCGCAACCTGGGCATGTGCCCAGACCTAGAATGGAACCATGACCTCCTGGTTCATAGGTACCTGCTCAACCACTGAGCCACATCTGCCTTGCTGGAAATACTTTTATTGATTTTAGAGAGAGAGGAAGGAAGAGGGAGAGAAACATCAATGTGAGTGGAATATCCATTCACTGCTCTGCTGCATGCCCCCTGCCTGGAATCGAACTAGCAACCTTTGGTTGCATCGGATGATGCCCAAACAACTGAGCCACACTGGCTAGGGATGGAAACTTTTTACACCAAAATAGTTACTACATGGCTGGCTTTCTCACTTTATATATTTTCCTTAAATATCACCTTTATCATAGAAGCCTTCCCTGACCACTCTAAAATAACAGCAGCAAATACTTATTTTCCCCATGCATCATTTCTTATCATTCCTTGGTCTGCTTTATTTTCATTTCAAATTTGTCAACACCTAATATATTGACTTGACTGTCATCTCTTCCTGACCCCCAACTCACACACTTGGGTAAAAGCTCCCTGAGAATAGGAACTTTGGATGTTTTGTGTGGTCCCCCCCACCCCACCCCAACTTGGTTATGATCACCGATGTATCACAAGTACCTAGAAAAGTATCACATAAAAATACTTTCTGAATGTTTACGGGATGAATGAATACATTTAACACTTTTCTACAAGATGACTTTTTCTCCCCTCTTTTAAAAATTTTTTTCCATTTACAGTTGACATTTAATATTATACTTGTTTTAGGTATACAGCTCAGTAGTTAGACATTTATATGACTTATGAAGTATCCCCCCACAAATATAGTACCCAATACATACTTATAACAGTATTATTGACTAGAGGCCCAGTGCATGAAATTCATGCAGGGGTAGGATCCCTAAGCTTGGCTGATCAGGGCTTTCTAGCTGCTGTCAGGGGCCTTTCTTTGTTTCATGCCGCTCCCTGGTGGTCAGTGCACGTCATAGCGAGTGATTAAACTCCTGGTTGAACTCTCAAAGGGCCACTTTTACACATATAAATATATATAGATTATATTACCTATGCTGAACTCTCCATCTTTGTGACTATTTTATAACTGCCAATTTGTACTTGTTTATTTATTTATTTATTTTTGTTTGTTTGAATTCTCACCTGAGGGGTATTTTCATTGATTTTTAGAGAGAAGAAGGGAGAGTGAGAGAAATATCTATCAGTTGCCTCTCGTTCTTGCTCCAAATGGGCATTGAATCCACATCTTGACTGGGAATCAAACCCGAAACTTTTTGGTGTACAGGACAACTGTCCAACCAACCAAGCTACCTGGCCAGGGCATCTGTTTGAATTTTAATAGAACACTAGTGAGGCCAAGGAATTGATGGGTTTATTAATGTCATCAGCAGAAACCCTGCAGTTTCTAATCAGAATAGGAAAATAGTGGCTTGGTAGTACTCTTTTTGTGTGTGTAATACAACGACTCTCTATAGCTCCTCTGGGAGTTTTGATAACTTTTAGGAATGTGTGATCTCTGTGAATTTTTACTACTCTGTCCTGACAGTCTGAATGGTATTCATTTGGTAACTTAATCACTTGCAAGAGATTTGTTTAAGGTTGCTAAGAATAGTAGACTAATTGGAAAAGCTTTAAGCACATGAGAATTCACTCTACTTTATACTCTTTGGCCTCTCAGTAGAAGTTGGTTTTGACTTGGTTTTGTTGAACTCCTAATAATGCATGCTGTGGATTACGTGTGCATTGTTTAGGCTTCAGTACCTTTGGCAAATGACAGCATTGCCAGATATTACCTGGGAGTTGCTAAGTTAAATTTTCTAGGATCACACGTTTGGTCTTCTGACCAGTCAAAAATATGCTAGGGAGCCCTAGCCAGTTTGGCTTAATGGTGGATAGAGCCTCAGCCCACAGACTGAAGGATTTTGGGTTCATTCAGGTCAAGGGCACTTCCCTCAGTTTCGGGCTCGATCCCCATTCTGGTCAGGGTGTGTGCAGGAGGCAACCAATCGATGTGTTTCTCTCTGTCTCTTCCTTCCACTTTCTCTAAAAATCAACAGAAAAATATCCTAGGTTGAGGATTAACAACAACAAAAAATATGCTAGGGAGTGCGGCATGCCAGAGTACATTGTGGTATCCTTAAAATAAAGCAATTTGGCTTGTCTAGTGATGAGAGGAAAGATAATTTCTTATTTGGCATGTCTTTCCATAATATATGATACTCATTGGGAACGATGAACTCAGGTCAAGAGTACATTTCTCCTTTGGCCCGGATGTGTGTTAAGTACTATATCTAAATACCTTATGGATGCTACTATGTGGACTGTGGGTGTTTTTGGTTTGTTTTTAGCTTTCCCATCATTCCTCTTGGGGTGACATTTATTAAGCAATGTAATTTAACAGATATTTGAGTGCCTACTGGTTGCTAAGCATAGTAGCAAACTCTGGGGAAACAGTAAAAAAGAATTTCTTTCCCTACACTGCTGGTTGGTTGGTACTGTAATGGTTGGCGGTATTACTAGGCCCTCTTTTCAAATGAGGAAACAGATGCAAAGTGTTACCCTGTTTCCCCGAAAATAAGACAGTGTCTTATATTAATTTTTGCTCCCAAAGATGCGCTAGGTATTATTTTCAGGGGATGTCTTATTTTTCCATGAAGAAGAATACGGTGCACATTTATTGTTAAATGAAAAGAAAGGAAATTTATTACCTGTATACGGTACGGTAGGACGGTAGTTGTCAACACAAACCAGACAAACTGTGAATCCTACAGTATCAAGAATTTACTCATTTATTCAATGACAATCATGTCATCATCTTCTGGAACATCATCATAACAATTCAATTCCTGAATTTCCTGGTGAATTTCTTGTGACTCCATTTCTTTCAGAATCAGTGGGCCAAATCTCTCATGTTTAACCTAGCGGGGCCTTATTTTCGGGGGGATGCCTTATATTTCACTCAGAAGGAAACCTGTAAGTAGGTCTTATTTTCGGAGGATGTCTTATTTTCGGGGAAACACGGTACATGGCCCAAGCAGACTGGCTCCGAGTCCCCACTGCACTGAAATGCCTAAGGAGGAATTTAGCTTAGAAGAGTACTTCCTCAGGAAGTCTTTGCCATCACCCATGCTTCCTCCATCCTGCCCTGTCCCAATCAGGACCGCATTACATCTTTGCTCTATGTTCCTAACAGTGCCTCTTGCATACCCTTCTAAACATCACCTCTTGTATAATCCTTTGTGTTATGTCACTGTTCTCCACTAGACCTCACTGTGAGGACAAACCGAGTTTTACCACATATAAAGCACTGGAACATAGGAAGGACTCTAGGCATTAGTCATTTTTTTGTATCTATTTTTTATTTTGTTCAGTTACCCACTTGGCAGGTTCATCTTTTGGACACAAATTTGGCATGTTCTTTCTACTACATCATAACCTAACTTGCTCAGATGCTAAGAATAGTGGAAATAGAATTCTGAAAAAATAAGTGTGACATTTTTTACAAATTAATTCTGTTAGCATCTACTCTAAGAAACTGTCAGAATTGTAATGTTTTATAATACATAACTTTGAAAAATCTAAAAACTAATTTTATTTCTGGGAATTGAAACCCTTAAAACTCTATTTGCCGTAGCAGTATCACTTAGCCCCCATTTAGTCCCTATCACCAGTAGTGCAGTCAAAATGTCACATTGTTCCTGTCTAAGGTATTAATGAAAATCTCATCAGTAACATGATAACTAAACGCTCTTAAATAACATTATGTATTTCTCTTTATAGACCATTTAATTTGGCAGAGCGGAAAGCTAGCGCCCATTCTGTAGTAGAATGTGATCACGTACGAAAAGAAGTCAGTGTCCGAACTGGAGGATTGGCTGACAAGAGCTCAAGGAAAACATACACTTTTGATATGGTACTTCTTTCTTTATTTTTATATGGTACTTCTTAAGATGCTCCTACTTCTCCATTATTCACTAATGTAAAGTTATTCTAGTATACATATTTCCTCTAGGTTCTAGTGTACAGTGACAAATTTCAGTTGATTTAGAGTTGTCACTGGTTTCTAGTGAGCTGAATGAGTTAATATATTAAAAATAAAATTATTAAAGTGGGTAATTAATAATTTTTTTATTGAAGAAACGCTTTGATTTTTTTTTTAAACTTTTATTGTTGATGCTATTACAGATGTTCTCCCCTACCCTCCTTGCCTACCTTCAGCTTGATTTTTTTTTTCTTTATAGGTTTTTGGTGCATCTACTAAACAAATAGATGTTTATCGAAGTATTGTTTGTCCAATTCTGGATGAAGTTATTATGGGATATAATTGCACTATTTTTGCGTGAGTGAAATATTTTTCAAATTGATGAAAAGGTTTAGATGTATTTGTTTGGTTTTTATTTAATATTTTTGTTAATCTTGACAGATATGGCCAAACTGGCACTGGAAAAACCTTTACAATGGAAGGGGAAAGATCACCTAATGAAGAGTATACTTGGGAGGAGGTATTTGTTGCTTATAACAGACTCTGTCTCTAAAGTAGCTGAAATATAACTGAATAAAACTGAAGGATTTGGTCTTCAAATAGAGAAAGAGTACCCATGTTAAGTGGGAATTTAGGATTAACTACTCCTCTAGAAAAGTTAAAGTATATGGTATGGCTTCTGTTTAAAAACATATTGTCTCATTGGGAGAGACGTGGCCAATAAATACATAGGGTACAGTTAAGCGCTAAGAGAGGGGACAGAATAGTTGGAGTAGAATATTGTGGAAAAGTGAAATGTGAGTGTGACTTGAAGGGGAAGACCTTGCAACGAGGGAATGAATCTCATAAAGTTAACCTAGCAAGGGCAGTATGGTACTTTATTAGTGATCACCTTGTGTGTTCAAGAAATTAAGATTACTGCATTGTTGAATATAGTAGATAACAAATAGTACATTTCACAATGATTTTCACCAAATGTTTCAATTGATTTAATGACTAAGTCAGTTTTCAAATTATTAACATTTAGGTAGGTCCTTTTTTCCTAGAGGTTACATAATTGAGGCATTAACTTTATATATACATGGAATTGCAACTGTAGGAGATACGGAATAGGCTTAAGGCACAGTTTCAAAATTTAGGGATTCTTAACAATTGTGTTAAGGATACTTAACATTTGAGAAACAATCCTGCTTATGTCAGAATTAGGGAATGTACTTTTAATGGGCCCCTTTTTCTTTTTTTAAAAAATGATTTTATTTATTTATTATTTATTTATTTTTTAATATATTTTTTTATTGATTTTTTTTACAGAGAGAAAGGGAGAGATAGAGAGCTAGAAACGTCGATGAGAGAGAAACATTGACCAGCTGCCTCTTGCACACCCCCTACTGGGAATGTGCCCGCAACCAATGTACTACATGCCCTTGACCGGAATCGAACCTGGGACCTTTTAATCCGCAGACCGACACTCTACTGCTGAGCCAAACCGGTTTCGGCGAGCCCCTTTTTCTGATTAAAATGTAGTGTAATATATTCATGAGAAAAGTTGGAAAAGATTATTGAACTTGGCTTTATAAGCAGCTCATTTCAGTTGTTTTTTGTGTAATGCTCAGGCATAAAGTGTCTGGGAGGCATGGTAGATTAGTGGAAGGTATGAAGAATAATTACTCTTAAATAGACTGTTGTAAATGATTTGGCTTTTCTAACATTAGGTTGGCTTTTATTTATTTTTTTTAATAGTTTTAATTCCACAGTAAATTCCATTCTTTATTTTAGTCCTTATTAATATTATAATTTCAGGATCCTTTGGCTGGTATAATTCCACGTACTCTTCATCAGATTTTTGAGAAACTTACTGCTAATGGTACTGAATTTTCAGTCAAAGTGTCTCTGTTGGAAATCTATAATGAAGAACTTTTTGATCTCCTTAATCCATCCTCTGATGTTTCTGAGAGACTACAGATGTTCGATGATCCACGTAACAAGGTGACTCAGGCTTTGAGAATGAAATGTCTGCAAATGTTAATGTGTGATGCTTTGAGAAGTGTGGGTGTGTTAACCAATCTAATGGGTGCTTTTTAAAAATATTCTATCAGAGAGGGGTGATAATCAAAGGTTTAGAAGAAATTACAGTTCACAACAAGGATGAAGTTTATCAAATTTTGGAGAAGGGAGCAGCAAAGAGGACAACTGCAGCTACGTTAATGAACGCATACTCCAGGTAAGAGAGCCATTGTCTTTCTCATGCTCCGTTTTCTTTTTAGGAAGAAATTGGGGTGGGTCATAGTGTTCGAATCACATACCTAGATTTTATGCTACATTGCATGCCTTAGTAATTGATTTGAGATTTATAGGGAAGCATCAATATTGGAAGAATGCTGAAAGGAGAACAAAGACAAGTTGAACTAGAGCGAAAGCATTAATCTATCTTAAAGTAGATTTTATAATGTATATAATATATATATATATATTTTAAATATATTTTATTGATTTTTCACAGAGAGGAAGAGAGAGGGATAGAGAGTTAGAAACATCGATGAGAGAGAATCATCAATCAGCTGCCTCTTGCACACCCCCTACTGGTGATGTGCCCGCAACCAAGGTACACGCCCTTGACCGGAATCGAACCCGGGACCTTTCAATCCACAGGCCGACGCTCTATCCACTGAGCCAAACTGGTCCCGGCTATATATAATATATATTATATATAATATATATAATTTATAATATATTTAATTGATTTTTTACAGAGAGGAAGGGAGAGGGATAGAGAGCTAGAAACATCGATGAGAGAGAAACATCAACCAGCTGCCTCCTGCACACCCTCTACTGGGGATGTTCTCGCAACCAATGTACAAGCCCTTGCCTTTAATCGAACCTGGGACCCTTCAGTCCACAGACCAACGCTCTATCCACTAAGCCAAACCGGTTTCGGAAAAAAATATATTTTTATTGATTTCAGAGAGGAAAGGAGAGAGAGAGATAGAAACATTAATGATGAGAACAAATCATTGATCAGCTGCCTCCTGCGCACCCCCAACTGGGGATTGAGCCAGCAACAAAGGCATATGCCCCTGACTGGAATCAAACCTGAGACCCTTCAGTCTGCAGGCTGACGCTCTGTCCACTGAGCCAAGCCGAATAGGGCTGAAGTGGATTGTTTAATCTGCTAAATGAAATTGTACATGGGAGCCCTGATTAAAATATGGCTGCTATAGTTGAATTTGGGATGGAATTCTCAGAGGCTTATTATCTTCAGCCTTAAGAAGATTTTCTCTGAGCACATTTCTGAAGCCACTATGTATTTTTAGAACACAGTTTGAAAAACCTTGGTCGGAGGAAGTATTAGAAAAAAGTCAAATGACTTTTATTTTTTTTCAACTTTATTTAGGCATGATTAACAAATTTGTATGTATTTAGGTTATACAACATGATTTATTTTCAAACGGCTTCTTGTTAATGTAGGAAGATGGATGATCACTAACTGACTTTCAAGGGGACAAAAGGCCATATTTGATAACGTCCTCTATAGGATAAATCCCAAATTCTACAAATGCAGTTTACCAAGTTAGAAGTGAGTTTTTTCCTGTTGGTCTTTGAAGGAAACATCAGACTAATTGGAAGAGTTGTGGGTTGGGAATTAGGTATTTGCGTTTAGTTCCAGTTCTGTAGTTAAATATGTGACTTTGGGTAAATAAGTGAACTTATCTGAATATCTGTTTTCTTGAGCTACAAAATGTCTAGATTTCTTATTTCTTTGCTCCCTTATTGACAATTTTTATAGTTATAACTGCAATTTCATAAGCAATTATATATAATTGCAACTTTATAAAAATATGTATGCATTTAAAGAAAAAAAAACATGAAAGTAATTAAAATCCTAATTTTAAATTTTTCTATAATAGCTTTCCATTTTTAAAACTTAAGCTATAAATCATAAAATGAAATTTCCATTCTGATTGGCTTGTAAATTAATTTTATATAGAATTTGGAGGAATGAAAATAAGACTAAAATTTCCTCTCAGAAAACTTTTGTCTAAAACATAAAATTCTTACTATTTTGTTCCTGGCTGGTGTGGTTCAGTTGGTTGAACATCATCCCATGTACTGAAAGGTGGCCTGTTTGATTCCTGGTCAGGGCACATACCTGGGTTGCAGGTTTGATCCATGGACGGGGCGTGTATCGGAGGCTGCTGATTATGTTTCTCCCTCTTTTTTCCTCTCTCTCTAAAAACAAACAAACAAAAAAAATCAATAAAACCACATTTCAAAATTCGTATTATTTTATTAATTTGTATAATTTGGGTCTCCTTTTAAAAAAATATGTAGATTGGAATAAAGATCTCTTTTTATGAATGTATATGATAAAAAGAAGGCAATTAAAATTTCTAAAACAGAGTTGATGTGTGTGTTTTATTTCAATAATTACACAATGTTAGATTAGGAATGGGTAAATAATGGTAGAAAAACATGAAATGTATATGATGATTTAGATTTACAGTTTATGTTTATACTAGAGGCCTGGTGTACGAATTCGTGCACAGGGGTGTGTGTGTGTGTGTGTGTGTGTGTGTGTGTCCCTCAGCCCAACCTGCACCCTCTTGCAATCTGAGACCGCTGGCTCCTAACCACATGCCTGTCTGATTACTACTAACCACTCTGCCTGCCTGCCTGATCACCCTTAACCACCTCTACCTCGGCCCCCACCATGGTGGCTTCATCCAGAATGATGTCTGGAAGGTCATTCAGCTGTCTGGTCTAATTAGCATATTACGCTTTTATTATTATAGATTGTGCCTATCCCCTTTTCAGTAATTTTATTTATTTATTTTTTAATAAATCTTTATTGTTCAGATTATTACAAATGTGATCCTCTTCCCCCCCTCAATTGCTCCCCTTCACCAGGTTCCCACCCCACCCTCTGTCCTTTCCCCATCCCCCATTGTCCTCAGCCATAGGTGCACAGTTTTTGTTCAGTCTCTTCCTGCACCCCCACTCCCCTTTTCCCTGAGAATCGTCAGTCCACTCCCCTTCCATACCTCTGATTCTATTATATTCACCAGTTAATATTGTTCATCAGATTTTTAAATTCCCTTGGTTTTTAGATTCACTTGTTGATAGCTACATATTTGTTGATCATAATTTTTATCTTTATCTTCTTCCTCTTCCTAAATAACCTCCTTCAGCAATTCATATAATTCTGTTTTGGTGGTGATGAACTCTTTTAGCTTTTTTTTATTTGTGAAGCTCTTTATCTGTCCTTTGATTCTGAGTGAAAGCTTTGCTGGGTAGATTATTTTTGGCTGTAGGTTCTTGTTATTCATCACCTTGAATATTTCTTGCCATTCCCATCTGGCCTGCATGGTTTCTGTTGAGAAATCAGCTGACAATCTTATGGGTGCTCCTTTATAGGTCACTACCTGCTTTTCTCTTGCTGCTTTTAATATTCTCTCTTTTGCTCTTGGAATTTTAATTATGATATGTCTTGGTGTGGTCCTCCTTGGATTCCTTTTGTTTGGGGTTCTGCGGGCTTCCTGGACTTGTAAGTCTATTTCTTTCCCAAGGGGGGGAAGTTTTCTGTCACTATTTCTTCTAGTACTCTTTCGGTATCTTGTTCTCTCTCTTCTGGAATTCCCATAATTCTGATGTTGGTTCGCTTGAAATTGTCCCAGAGGTTTCTTACACTATCTTCAACTTTCTGGATTCTCTTATCTTCTCCCTTCTGCAGAGGAGTGTCCTCTGGCTCTTTGTGTTCTAAATCTTTGTCTTGATTCTTGCCATCTTCCAGTCTGTTTTTAGGACTTTGTATAATATTTTTTATTTCAGACAATGTTTTCTTCATTTCTTGTTGATCTCTTATTATTTCTAGTTGCTCCCCCCTTTTCAGTAATTTTAAATTAAATTTTGTAAAAATGGTATTTATTGTAAAAAATTTTCAAGTAACATGAAAAGTCCAAATAAGAAAATTACCGTATTTCCCAACAGTAGTGACATTAATAAACAATGATGTTTCCAAATGTCATTGATACATAAAGGAAAGATGTTTTTGGGTGTCTTATATAGTCATGAGTCACATAACAGCATTTGGTTATTGATAGACTGCATATGTGACAATGGTTCCATAGTGATCTGAAAAATTCCTATCATGTAGGGATATCTTAACTGTCAACAAGTGTAGAAATAAAGCATTACGTGTTTCTGGTAATGCTGGTATACCTGTGCTTTCAGTTGTATAAAAGTATAGCACATTCAATTACGGTAGAGACTATACCATCTAGGTTTGTTTAAGTACACTGTGATGTTTGCATAACAATAAATTGCCTAATGATGCATTTCTCAGAACATATTCCCGTCATTAAGCTGTGCATGGCTGTATAATTTTTGTATCCCTCAGATAAAAGCCAAATGTCAATATAAATCATATACTTTGGAACACTTTATAATCTAACTGATTATCTTGTAGTGTTTTGGTAGTTACTGCTACTTACTATTTCTGCTGTTCAGGGAAAGGAATTATCTTTCTGATAACATTCTCAAAACAGAGCAATGGACTTTTATAGCAGTTGACACTGGGGGAGCACTGTGATGGCTTGCCTGGAGCTGTTTGAATTTATGGTAATGACATATTTCAGATGGTTCTTATGAATAGGGAGATTTATCGCAAGCCTTCCCCTCTGACACATCAGGCACCTGTCCCCAACCCTACCCAACATCCAGCTTTCAGAGGTGCCTGGGATTCTAGTTCCTGAGTGTTTTCAAGTAGCTTCTTATTGTATTCTACAGGCAGTAGGTACAAGAAAGCAAAAACCTCCTGTGAGGTACTATCTTTTAAAAAAAAATATATATTGATTTTTTGCAGAGAGGAAGGGAGAGGGATAGAGAATTAGAAACATCAATGAGAGAAACATCAATCAGCTGCCTTCTGCACACTCCCTACTGGGTATGTGCCTGCAACCAAGGTACATGCCTTTGATTGGAATCGAACCTGGGACCCTTGAGTCCGCAGGCTGGTGCCCTATCCACTGACCCAAACTGGTTAGGGCTATCTTTCTTTTTTTATTTATTTGTTTTGAGACAGAGAGCAAGAGCGAGAGAGAGAGAGAGAGAGAGAGAGAGAGAGAGAGAAATATTGATTTGTTCCACTTATTTATACACTCATTGGTTGATTCTTATATGTGCCCTGACAGGGATTGAACCTTCAACCTTGCCACATCCAGATGATGTTCTAACCAACTGAGCTACTTGGCCAGGGCAGATACTATCTTTCTTTACTTTTGTAGATCTAGATCTTTCTTGGCTGTTTTTAATATTTTGTAGAAATTAAATAATATCTTGTGTTATAATGACTGGGTAACTTGTTCTTTTCTAGTCGATCCCACTCCGTTTTCTCTGTTACAATACATATGAAAGAAACTACAATTGATGGAGAGGAGCTTGTTAAAATTGGGAAGTTGAACTTGGTAAGCATCTATCTTAATATCATTGTTTTATTCTTGTGTTTGTACTCCAGCTTTATTGACAAATAAAATTATATATTTAAAGTGGACAGTGATGATTCGATATACATATTCTTTGTAAAATGATTACTACAATCAAATTAACACATACATTACCTCACATTATTATCATTATTGTTATTATTATCATTATTTTTATGACAAAACTTAGGATCTACTCCCAGCAAATTTCAGTATAGTATTATTAACTGTACTAGTGTATATCAGAACTTACTCACCTTAACAATGAAGGCCTTTACCCTTTGACCAGCATCTTCTCCCTATCTTCCTAACCTCTCTGTACCTGATAACCATTATTCTGTCCTCCGTTTTTATGAGTTGGACTTTTCCCCCCTCCTCGCTGATTCCACATACAAGTGAGGTCATACAGTATTTGTCTTTTTGTCTTTCTCTGTCTTTTTATTTTCCATTTAGCATAATGTCCTCTAAGTTCCTCAATGTTCTTGTAAGTGGTAGAATTTTCTTTTTCATGGCTGAATAATATTTCATTGTGTGTATATACCACCTATTTATCCATTGACAGACACTTAGGTTTCCACATCTAGGCTATTCTGAATAATGCAATGGACATGAGCATGCAGATCTCTCTTTGAATACTGATTTCATTCCCTTAAGATTTTTACCCAGAAGTGGGATTGGTAGTACTCTTCATTTTTTTTTTTTTATAAATATATTTTATTGATTTTTTTATAGAGAGGAAAGGAGAGAGTTAGAAACATCGATGAGAGAGACATCAATCAGCTGCCTCCTGCACTCGCCCCACTGGGGATGTACCCGCAACCAAGGTACATACCCTTGACCAGAATCAATCCTGGGACGCTTCAGTCCGCAGGCCAAACTGGTTTTGGCATATTATTTTATTCTTGATCCCGTCAGAGCAGCCTGAAATTTTGTACTTCTAGACAATATTTTTATAGTCACTGGGTTATTAGCTTTGTAGTGAGTTGTTATTATTATAGAAAACTTACTTTGCTGGTTATTTAATATATTATATATAATATGAGAATGAACAAGTCCAAATCCAACAAAATGACAACCTATTTTTTTTTTTTTTTAATTCAAGGTTGATCTTGCAGGAAGTGAAAACATTGGCCGTTCTGGAGCAGTGGATAAGAGAGCTCGGGAAGCTGGAAATATCAACCAATCCCTGTTGACTTTGGGAAGAGTTATTACTGCTCTTGTAGAAAGAACACCGCATGTTCCTTACCGAGAATCTAAACTAACCAGAATCCTCCAGGATTCTCTTGGGGGACGTACAAGAACATCTATAATTGCTACAATTTCTCCTGCATCTCTTAATATTGAGGTAAGCCCTTTGAACAGTATCTGCCAGTGTAGCAGCTGTAATTCTTATTTAGCTATCACATTATTTTATTTATTATTATTTTTAATGTTTTTATTGTTTTTTTGTTTGTTTGTTTGTTTGTTTTTTTAAGAGAATGAGGAAGGAAGAGGGAGAGAGATAGAAACATCTATGAGAGAGAAACATCGACTGGCTGCCTACTGCATGCCCGTATTGGGGATTGAACCTGCAACCCAAGCATGTGCCTTGGTCAGGGATCACAACAGTGACTGCATGGTGCATGGGTCAATGCTCAACCACTGAGCCACATCAGCCAGGCTCTTTGTTTGTTTTTAATTTTCTTAGAGATAAACATCAATGGGCTGCCTCCCACACACACCCTTACTGGGTATCGAACCTACAACCTAGGTATGTGCCCTGACCGGGAATTGAAACTGCAGCCTTTTTGGTGCACAGGACGATGCTCCAGTTAAACGAGCCACCTGGCCAGGGTGCTGTCTCGTTTTAAAAGTTCATCCATCGGCTATATTCTGTATTATAGTGAAAAGAATCTGGACATTGCATATGGACACATTTAGAAGGACACCACTGAAAAACATGTCTTTCTCCTTCCTGGCAGAGTTTTTAATCTTAAAAAGCCAGTTGCTTTTTCCACACAGTCTTCAAAGAAAATTGCTGTGGTCATTAGCAGTATATGGTTACATGGGATGTAGAGATATATCTTTTTTTTTTTTTTTTTTGGATATAGAGATTTAATTGAGGAGTTAGAAGTTAAGCGAATGTTAGTGTTTAGACTGCTTAGAGAGTAGTGAAGGTGGGGTTGGGTGTGTTGGAATAGGTGAGAAAACCAAAAGAAGCAACAAAGATGGCAGAATTGACTCTTACTTTATTGTAATAATTATCTATTGCATTTTGAATGGAATTAGAAAAACTTTATAAGTTCTCTAAATCTCCTGTACTTAAAAAAATATTTTCATTGAGATTTGATTCACATACCATAAAATTCACGATGTTCACAGAGCTGTGCAATCATTACCAAAATCTAAGTTTAAAATATTTCATCACCCCAGTTTGCCCCAACTCACAGCCTTTGGTTACTACTAATCTACTTTTCTTTTCTTTTTTAAAAAATATATTTTATTGATTTTTTACAGAGAGGAAGGGAGAGGGACAGAGAGCTAGAAACATCGATGAGAGAGAATAATTTATCAGCTGCCTCCTGCACACCCTTCACAGGGGATGTGCCCACAACCAATGTACATGCCCTTGACCGGAATCGAACCCAGGACCTTTCAGTCCACAGGCCGACGCTCTATCCACTGAGCCAAACCGGTTTTGGCTAATCTACTTTTCTTAACCTATAGATTTGCCTACTCTGAATAGTTCATATACATGGAATCATACAATCAGTGTTCTTCTGTGACCGGCTTCTTTCACTTACCAAAATGTTTTCATTGTTCATATTGTAGCATGTATCAGTACTTCGTTTCTTTTGGTGGATGAGTGATATTCCATTGTATGGTTATAGGACGTTTTGTTTATTCATTAGTTGATTGAATTAAACAAATTATTAGATCAAGTTATTATGAAGTTAAATACCCTAAACATTGAGGAGAAGGAAAAAAGATAGGGATGTTTTGAGAAATCTCTTTTTTAAAAATTGGGTATAATAGTCTTAGTGGTAGATTTTCAGATTAGCTATAACCATAAATTATTACTTATGAGTTATTTTATAGTACATATTAGGTAACAGAACTACATTTTCATAGTATCTTTAGTAATTGGTCTTTTCATCACAGGAAACTCTGAGTACATTGGAATATGCTCATAGAGCAAAGAACATACTGAATAAGCCTGAAGTTAACCAGAAACTAACCAAAAAAGCCCTTATTAAGGTAACTGTGCATTTTTGTGGAGTAATGTATTCTTGTTTGACAAATGTGAAAATAAGAAATTGCAGTAATTATTAAAAGATTTGTTAAATTGCCTGTGGAGGGCTTTTCATTTAATAATATAAACTAAATACCTTGTATGTTAAAATACTTTTTCTAATGCTAACATGTTGACTTTCCCAGTTCTATTAAATCAGAAAATTTAAAAATGTTTATATTTAAAAAGGTTATTTATTTACAACTTAAGGGTAACATGTATAGTTACTATACATTAGGGTGTAATTACATTTATGGCCGAGAGTAGTATTTTGCTGTGTGAATGAATGTATCACAGCTTTTCTTTACCCACTCATGTACATTGATTCTCCTTACACCTTTTACTGCTCCTCTAATTTATTTGTGGAAGTACCTGTATTTTTTGTCCTTGTAGTATCTTTTGACATGTTCTGTTCTTTGTATTTTTTGGATCATGAGGTTTCATAGATTCCAGTTTAATCTTATTTGTGTATTTTTGGCAAAACTATTTCTTAGGTGGTGGTATATTCTCCCACCAGGAAGCACATAGTCTGCTTTTTTTATCTTTTTAAGAAATTGATGATATTCAATGAGTTGATCCATTAGTTCTTTAAGGGTTATAAAATGGTAATCTTCTAATTTAATTTTTCTTAACTAATTGCTGGACCACCTCTATAATGAGGAACTTGCCTTCAGCTATCCTAGGGCAGTGGTCGGCAAACTCATTAGTCAACAGAGCCAAATATCAGCAGTACAACGATTGAAATTTCTTTTGAGAGCCACATTTTTAAACTTAAACTTCTTCTAATGCCACTTCAAAATAGACTCGCCCAGGTCGTGGTATTTTGTGGAAGAGCCACACTTAAGGGGCCAAAGAGCGGCATGTGGCTCACGAGCTGCAGTTTGCTGACCACGGCCCTAGGGTATGCTTATAGAAAGGCAGGAAAAATGCTTGATTTATTTCCTTTATTTGACAGTTTTGATAATAATGCATTGATTTTTCTAGCTTGCTTATTTTTCTTTTCACCAGAGGATATGATTTTTAATTGAAAAAAAACCACATTTTTTTAAGAGAGAGAAAGAGAGAGGGGGGGAGGGGGGGAGGGAGGGAGGGAGGGAGGAAGACAGGAGAGGGAGAGAAGAGAGAGAGATTAGTTGCCTCTTGGACAGAGAATTGAACCCAAAACCTTTTGGTGTATGAGACAATGCTCCAACCAACTGAGCCACGTGGCCAGAGTGGTTTTCTAGCTTTCTTAATGTCATTATAAACTCATGGGCTTAAAATTTTTGTGTTAATCCATTGTAGCTATTATCCTCAGTGATGGTCAAATTGTTTCGCCTTTGACCTATGGTAACTTCTCCAAGTGATTGATTGATTTCTTTCTTTCTCTTTCTTTCTTTCTTTCTTTCTTTCTTTCTTTCTTTCTTTCTTTCTTTTTTTTTTTTCTTTTTTTTTTTTTTTAATATTTCACTGATTTTTTTACAGAGAAGAGGGGAGAGGGATAGAAAGTTGGAAACATCAATGAGAGATAAACATTGACCAGCTGCCTCCTGCACATCCCCTACTGGGGATGTGCCTGCAACCAAGGTACATGCCCTTGGCCTTTCAGACTGCAGGCCAATGTTTTAACCCCTGAGCCAACCGGTTAGGGCTCCAAGTGATTTCTTGAGCCCTTTTCATTATCTTACGATCTTTTAGCTTTGTTTTTATTTTGTTTGACAAAATGTCATCTTGAATGTTTCTTGCCCCAACTCTAGAGTCAGATAGTTCTCTAAAAAATCCTGGTGTGTTTTTAATGTGAAATGTCCCGTGAAGACCAACCTGGGTGCTGGAGGTTGTGTGGTGTTTTTTCAGAAGCCCATGTTGTTATACTGAGTAAATTTAAAGGCTCTTTGAAAGCTGTTGAAAGACTATTCTGTACAGGTTAATGAAAAGTATGACTATTATTTTTTATCATACATTTTTATGATTTAAAGAAGATAAAAGGGCTAACTTTTTATATTTTTTATATCGTCCCCAAACCAAATTTTTAAAATATTGTTCTATATTGACACCTTTAATGTTCTTCTTGTGTAGGAATATACAGAAGAGATAGAGCGTCTGAAACGAGATCTTACTGCAGCCCGGGAAAAGAATGGGGTGTACATTTCTGAGGAGAATTTTAGGTGAGCCATAAGCTATGGAAATTCATTTCCAAGAATAAGTATTTTCTGATAACAGGCTGTTGGAAGTAAAATTTACTTATTTGACAGTAAATAAAATCTTTATTTGTTGTTCTTTTTACAGTGCTTATTTTTCTTTTGATATTAACAAGTACTTATCAAACAATTTAAAAAGATTTTATATTAACTTTTTTTTTTTTTTCCATTTATTTAGAGAGAGTAGAAGGGAGGAGAGAGAGACACCTGGGGTAGGGCAGGAGCCTGAAACCCAGGCACATGCCCTTACCCCGTGTGAGGGCCTGCGCTCTACCATTGAGCCACACCGGCTATTTTTTATTTTTTTAAATAATTACAGATTCACAAGAGTACAAAGAGGTTCCATGTATTTTCCATCCAGTTTCCCCAATTGATTACCTCTTAAGTAACTTTACTACATTATCAAAACTAGGAAGTTGATATTGGTACAGTGTATGTGTATAAATCTATTATTTTTTCAAGTTTGTATATTTGTGTAGTTCAAAACTATCATCTCAAAAATCTCCCTTTTGCTGACCCTTTATATTCATATCCACGTTCTTCTCCAGTGATCCGTAACTTCCGGCAACCACTAATCTGTTCACTTTTTTAAAGCCCTGGAGTAGTTCGTTCAAAGAAAAGTTAAATCAAAAGACTGTTAGCATATACCTTGGTTGTTGTAGGTTTGATCCTACACCAAAGGTAGGTTTGACCTTGGTGGTTGGGGCACATGTGGGAGGCAACCAATCTCTCTCTTTCTCTCTCTTCCACCTCCCGATTCTCTTAAAAAAAAAAAAAAAATTAATGGAAAAATATCCTTGGGTGAGGATGAACAACAGTAAAAACGACTGTTAGAACTAATTCTCCTCTTGTACCTCAGTTGTAACTTTTCCTTTAATAAACAACATCTCCAGGTAATAATTTGAGGAAATTTGTACTCACAAAAGAATCTGTGCCATTTAGCACAATGCGGAATAGAAAATAATTGATAGTTATGAAGGAACTGGAAGATAAAGAATACAAAAGACAGCATTCACTTCTGAAACTTGCTAATGCTTAAGAAATCAGAGACCCATTATAGTGGAAAAGAATTATCTGGTCCAAAATGATGTCAGTAGTGCTGAGGCTGAGGATCTGCTCTAGAGAATAATCCTTTGCTCTCCTGAGGATTTCTGTGGTGGTTTGATGGTGACATGTGTGTTGTGGTATATTTAGGTATAGTAGGCAGTGAGAAGTGTAATTGCTCTGCCATACTTTTAATTCTGTTCTCCAGTTTTGTGTCCTGTTTATGCTCCATATTCCTGATTACAGACACTTAGGTTGTATTCCCCTCCTATCTCTTTTTTTTTATGTGAGTTGTATTCCTCTATTAGCTTCATTGCTTCTCAAATTTTACATACACACATTTCTTCCCCTTTGGGTAGGGATTCTCGGTTTCAAAATGGAGATAACGGGAAAACAATTATTAAACAAGGACAAAGAATACATTCATTTTTTGCGATTTGTGTGTATTGCTTATTGGCACCTAGGCATCATTTTTATGATAGTGACAAATGGCAAAGCTGATGTATAATTGCCACAATTGTGTTAGAATAAATTGCTTAGGAATTAGGACAAAAATTGTTAAGTTTATATTAAACTTTATTTCAGAGCCATGAATGGAAAACTAACTGTTCAAGAAGACCAGATTGTAGAATTGATTGAAAAAATTGGTGCCCTTGAGGAGGAGCTAAGTAGGGTAAGCATTCCAAACAATATTGAATATTATGTAAAAAGCAAATATTTAAAGAAAATTTCAGAATGTGAGGAATCTATACTTTGAAGATTTTTTTTTTTTTAGTATATGGGGCTGACCCATATACTGAAAATAAGTTGTATCATAATTTTGTCACAATTGTAATGAACTATTAAAAAATTTTTTAAAACTATTGATTGATTTTAGAGGGAGACAAAGAGATATCGATTTGTTGTTCCACTTACTTATGCATTCATTGATTGAATCTTTTTTTAAACTATATTTTTATTGATTTTAGAGAGAGAATGGGAGATGGAGAGAGAGATAAAAATATAGGTGAGAGAGAAACATCGCTTGGCTGCCTCCTTAATGCCCTTCACTGGGAAATAAGCCTACAACCCAGGCATGTGCCCTGAATGGGATCGAACTGATGGCCCTTAGTGCATGAGTCAGTGCTCAATCACTGACCCACCCCAACCAGGCATTGGTTGATTCTTGTATGTTCCCTGACTTGGGATAGAACCTTCAACCTTGGCATATCAGGATGACATTCTAACCAACTGAGCTAGGTCAGAGCAGAAACTATTTTGATACATCAATGCAACATTACAAGAAATTAATTGAAATGTGTGATTTTATTGGTCAAGCTAAATAGTGAATGCTGAGCCCGAGCTGGTTTGGCTCAGTGGATAGAGCATTGGCCTATGGATTGAAGGGTCTCAGGTTTGATTCCAGTCAAGGACACATGCCTGGGTTGTGGGCTCCATCCTCAGTAGGGGGCATGCAGAAGGCAGCCAATCAGTGATTCTCTCTTATCATTTATGTTTCTCCCTCTCCCTCTCCCTTCCTATCTGAAATCAGTAAAAATATATATTTTTAAAAAAATAGTGAATGTTGAGACTTTTTCATTAATGTGTTTATCACATGAGGGATTGGGATTGGGATGTTGGGAGAAAACAGAAGTTAAATAACTTAGATGTAAAGACCTGATCCTTTTGTGCCAGCCTCACACAGGCAAGGTTGGATAAATCCCGAAGAATTAATACCATCACACTAGACCTGTTTTATTTGTTTTTAATTAACTTACAGGAAGAAACCAGATGCCATATAAGATGTACTAACCTACCTGGAAACTTACAATTTGTTACAGTTTTGCATGGAAATAATTTGGTTCTTCTAATATTATATTATGAACTAGCTAGGTGTCTCACTAATCAGCTCAGCACTTTAATTCTTTAAAAAATGTTTAATGTATTATATTTAGGTTACAGAATTATTCGTGGATAATAAAAATGAACTTGATCAGTGTAAATCTGACCTGCAAAGTAAGACACAGGAACTTAAAACCACTCAAAAACATTTACAAGAAACTAAATTACAGCTTGTGAAAGAGGAGTATGTGTCGTCGGTTTTGGAAAGCACTGAGAAGAAGCTTCATGATACAGCCAGCAAGGTTTGGCTTTTGTTTTGATTGCGTTTGCATTGAAGGAATTAGTGAATGGGTAGAAGTAAATTACTTTGTTGTCTGTAGCATTAATTGTGAAATTCTATTATTCACCCCAAATTCACATTTCTGTCAGTTTTAAAAAATGTTATTTTATTTCATCTAAATTTTCCTCATAGAGATGCTAGATTAAGGAAAAATCTTCCAGAAGTTTTGAAAATAGAACATGATTTTAATATTCCTTATGAACATTTATAATAATGATGTAATACTTTTTCCTATGGTCATGATTGGAGTTAACCAGAAATCAATGATGGAATTGTTGAAAGTTTTTAATATTTTATTAGGTATATTTTTGAGGAAATAAGAACACATAATATGCAAAAAAAGCCTTGTAGGGCCGAATCATTACTATAATTGGCAAAACCAGTTTTCCTTGTCTAGATGGCTAGGAAGGGGAAATAAACATTCTCAGGTAAATCAGCATGAGTTTTAAAATTTCTTCTGATGCAATATATAAAACTTTCAAGTTCTCAATGCGAGCAATCCTTACGTAGCACAGATACTTTCGTAGACGGCTTTTGTCATATCCATCTTATCAACATTTATTTTTTTAAAATAATATATAGTTGCTTGACACAGTTGAAGAAACTACAAAAGATGTATCCGGTCTCCATTCCAAACTGGATCGTAAGAAGGCAGTTGATGAGCACAATGCAGAAGCTCAGGATATTTTTGGCAAAAATCTGAATAGCTTGTTTAATAATATGAAAGAATTAATAAGGGATGGCAGCTCAAAACAAAAGACCATGCTGGAAGTTCACAAGACCTTGTTTGGTAAGTCAAGTATTTCTAATGATTCTAATCATTGTATGTTTAGTGGGAGACTAATTTTAAAACATAGTTATAAAATAAATTCAGGTGATAGTGCACACACTATGTTCAGACTAGAAATTAATACTTTCACTGCCTTCAAATGAAAACAAATCTTACGTGGGTTGTTTTTCCTGTTTTCTATAAAATAACATGTTTATTAAACAATAACTAAGTGTATAAACTTTTAGAAGTAAAAGTCCCTTTAACCTTGACCCTGTCTCATTCTCTGTAGACACTGCTGTTAAATTTCTTGAGTTTCTCGAAATTTTCTGTACATAACATTTTGCATCTTTTTCTTTTGAGAATATACATCTTGCATGTTTGCTGTATTGTCAGAATATGTATATGTATCATTTTAAATCAAACCATTGTTGTTATCTTCATGGGGGGGCACACACCTCCTAAGTATTAGTTTATTTATTATGGAAGTATTATCCTCATTATAGAAAATCTGGGAGATGCAGAAATGTAAAAATTGTTTAAGTCATCTAGAGTCTAGTCATTTTAAGCCAAGTGCTATAAAATTTTTTTTTTAAATATATTGATTTTTTACAGAGAGGAAGAGAGAGGGATAGAGAGTTAGAAACACCGACGAGAGAGAATCATCGATCAGCTGCCTCTTGCACACCCCCTACTGGGGATGTGCTTACAACCAAGGTACATGCCCTTGACCAGAATCGAACCCAGGACCTTTCAGTCCGCAGGCCGATGCTCTATCCACTGAGCCAAACCGGTCCCGGCAAAATGCTATAAAATTTGTTTATTGATTTCTAGTTTCTCTTTTCTTCTATGACCTCTTTTAACCTACTGTATATTACTTTTAGTTAGAGATTAATATTAGAGTATTCTAGTTCTTTGTTTACTGTGAGTTATAGTTATGGGTCTGATATACTATAGATTTGTCAACTGTTTACAGAATACTGTAGAACAGCCAGGACCGGTTTAGCTCAATGGATAGAGCGTCGGCTTGGGGACTGAAGGGACCCGGGTTCGATTCCGGTCAAGGGCATGTACCTTGGTTGCGGGCATATCCCCGGTAGGGGGTGTGCAAGAGGCAGCTGATCGATGACTCTCTCTCATCGATGTTTCTAACTCTCTATCTCTCTCCCTTCCTCTCTGTACAAAATCAATAAAATATATTAAAAAAAAAAAAAAAGAATACTGTAGAACAAATATAATTTATATTTAAAATGTTTCCTTGCTTATATAGTGAGACAATTACGTTAAGCTTATTTGTTATGATGAATTTCCACAACAGAGATATAATTTTGCCAATCACTTCAGGGTAGTTCAAACTGTATTTAAATATGTTAATGCTAAGTCCACATCTTTTTTCTTTTTTTTGTTACAGGTAACCTGCTGTCTTCCAGTGTTTTTGCATTAGACACCATTACTACAACAGCACTTGGATCTCTCTCATCTGTTCCAGAAAATGTGTCTAAACATGTTTCTCAGATTTCTAATATGATATTAGAAGAACAGTCATTAGCAGAAGAAAGTAAAACTGTACTTCAGACATTGCTTGTTAGTAAATATTTTTTTTAAATATATTTTATTGATTTTTTTACAGAGAGGAAGAGAGAGGGATAGAAAGTTAGAAACATCGATGAGAAAAAATCATCGATCAGCTGCCTCTTGCACACCCCCTACTGGGGATGTGCCCGCAACCAAGGTACATGCCCCTGACCAGAATCGAACCTGAGACCTTTCAGTCCGCAGGCTGATGCTCTATCCACTGAGCCAAACCGGTTTTGGCGACACATATGATTTTAATATGTGTTGTTTGATTAACAGTATTTAAGACATTTAACCACATTTATGGAAGTGAAAATATTATTTTTCTTTTTAAGCCTTGTTTGTTTTTATTTTTAAAACAGAATGTACTTAAGACTGACCTTCTAAGTTCACTGGAAACAATTTTATCCCCCACTGTGTTGGCTGTACTGAAAATCAATAGTCAACTGAAGCATATTTTCAAAACTTCACTGACAGTGGCTAATAAGGTAATAAATGTTGTTATCTCCAAATCAAATTGTTATTTAAAAGAAAAGAAACTATCTGAAACCACACCTGGGAGATTTACATATAGTTTCTTTCCCTCAGAATCCATGGGTTCTGAGAAGGAATCTAGAGTAGGGAGAAGTTAAGATATTCTCTGCCATTGATGTAGTCAACAGAATGATGGCTAAGAAAAATTAGAGAGAATGATAAAGATAAATGTTTAAGTTGGCAAAGTAACATATAGCATGCCATCATATGGTGGTTGAGGAAGATAATGCATCTATACATGTATGCTTACATGCCTAGTTATATATAAAATGCCTGGAAGTATTTAAAAATGGTAGCAATCATCTCAGGTGGGAATGGAACTGGGGTTCTAGAAGCTGGAGAGAAAAAGAGACTTTGCTTAGTTTGTCTACCTTTTCTATTTTGTATGTTTTTGAAAAAAACACAAATAACTTTTTTTAAAATAAGAAAGTAATTACCTTTCTTCAAAGATAGAAGATCAGAAAAAGGGAATGGATGGCTTTCTCAGTACACTGTGTGACAATCTACACGAACTACAGGAAAATACAATTTCTTCCTTGGCTGAATCACAGAAGCAGTGTGAAAATTTAACGAAAGAACTAAAGACAATAAAAAAAACCCATTCACAGGTATTTTATTTAGGTGATGTGGGGAGGGTAAAAAAGAAAATGTTATGATCTTTAACTTGATAATCCCTGTTACACAATCTGAATGTTTAACTATTTTAGAAACTTGAAAATACCAAAGCCGCTATTGGCTTATAACGGTAATTAATATAAAATAATTGAGGATACTTTTATTGATCAGTTAATATTTGAGGATTTGCTACATGTAAGCATTTTGAGTGAGCCTGCATGTCTACATTGCATCTTGATAAATTATTTTTTGTGTGTGGTAACATGTATAGTTACTTTCATAAACTATGCCCTGCTTTCCTCTTACAGTTTCTTTCCCTCGACGTCAGAAATTTAAATTGTAATAAATTAAAACAGTTCTTAATTTCTATTAATTGATTACAAATGTAATTCATGATTTTTCTTTCTCCATGTAAACTATTCTTCAGTGTATTGAATGTCTAAACTTTCATTAAGCGGAGTTATTTCTACACGGAAGAACTCTTAGGTCAGTGAAACTGTTGACATAATGTAGTGGGTAGTGGAGGATTCCTTTTAAGGGAGAGGGAATTCATATCCATATCACCAAAAATGAGAAGAATAACATATCCGAGATTTTTAGGTAAGAAATAAAGCAACTTTAAAATGAAACTTATCAGAGAAAGGATTACTATCAGAAATTAGTAAAAATCATAGTTAACATTTATTGAGCAACTTAGGTTTAATTTCTCCCACCAATATAAATTCAGGAAACAAAGAGCCCTCACAGTATTTTTAAAAAATATATTTTCCTCACAGTATTTTAAAAAAATATATAGGCCGCCGAAACCGGTTTGGCTCAAGGGATAGAGCGTCGGCTTGGGGACTGAAAGGTCCCGGGTTCGATTCCGGTCAAGGGCATGTACCTTGGTTGCGGGCATATCCCCAGTAGGGGTTGTGCAAGATGCAGCTGATCGATGACTCTCTCTCATTGATGTTTCTAACTATCTCTCTCCTTTCTTCTCTGTACAAAATCAATAAAATATATTTAAAAAAAAAAATATATATATATATAGGCCACTGGACTAGACTAAATGTTACCATGTAGTTGGAAGATGTTAGGCAATTGTGGCATATTGTCTGCAAAGAGGTAAAAGGTAGTATATGATAGTGGTTGGCAAACTCATTAGTCAACAGAGCCGCAAACCGTGGCTCGAGAGCCGCAGTTTGCCGACCACTGAGTAGGGCATTAAGCAGTATTGAGATCATCCTACAGTGGTGCTGTTGGTGATTATATTGCCTAAAAAGCATTTATTTTTGAGAGGATCTTCTATATATTTCTTGAATATATTCCTACAGTTTGAAATTGCAGCAATTTCTTATACCCTCTGCATAAGAAATTTATCTTAAACCTGCCTAGAATTTTTTATGTATGTATTTTATAAAGATCAACTCTTTATAAATTAGCTGTTTTGAAATGTTAAAATTAGCAATCAAATGTTTAAAAACAAAATACCTATGATCTGAAAAGTATTTTAGCATGGATGGTTGATTTCCCCGTTTAAGGAAGCAAGTTTACTAAGTGAACACTAACAAAACAGTTATGTAAAACTCTGAACACCTATTGTATTTACATATAGGTAAATCTGATAATATCTGCATTTCCCTCTACTCTGAGACTAGTAAAAATACTGAAAGACTTTATTCATAATCAAAGTGTTAGATATGTTTTATCAGCTGATGTCGTATTCAAAGATGGACTGAACAGTGAATAAGGCTGGGTGCCTTTTCAGCTGTTCCTTGGTTTTTACTACAAGTCATTAGCATATTGTAAGCCTATAAGAGCTTGTTTTGAAAGATGCCAAGCATGAGCAAAGGTAATACTCTATATTGACATTTTACTAATGTCATCTGTAAAATGTTTCAGCTATAGTAATTGATAACAAAATCTAAAAATTTTAGATTGCCTGACTGATGAGATTGTCAGCATTACTTTTTCCTTCCAATATTGTCATCAGTTAAGAAGCAACTGTATGTATCTGTCAAAGTGGTTCTAAAAACATAATGTATTTGGTTGTTAAGAGATATATAGTTGCTAATATATATATTTTTTAATATATATTTTATTGATTTTGTACAGAGAGGAAGGGAGAGAGATAGAGAGCCAGAAACTTCGACGAGAGAGAAACATCGACCAGCCGCCTCCTGCACACCCCCCACTGGGGACATGCCCGCAACCAAGGCACATGCCCCTGACCGGAATTGAACCCGGGACCCCCCAATCCCCTAGCTCTATCCATTGAGCCAAACCGGTCTCGGCATATAGTTGCTAATATTTTTTAATCCTTATGAAATCCTTTTGATATCAATCTCCACTGCTTCCCTCTGTGGGAAACAGGTAAAGATCTCTTATAAGGAATTTATATAACGCTCACTTATGAAAAGATACTTCATGTCAAGGTAGAAAAAAAGTTCGTGTCATAATTTCAATCTTTTCCACACCTTTCTTATAGGAACTTTGCCAGTTAATCAATCTTTGGGGAGAGAGATTCTGTGCTTTGGAGGAAAAGTGTGAAAACATCCAGAAACCACTTCACAATGTCCAAAAAAATACCGAGCAGTAAGTTGTTTTAAAAACCTATTTAACTTTTCTCTGCTTAAAATTATTTTCAGAATAAAAAGCTTCAAATAATACAAAAACAATCAACCCAGTATCTCATTTAACATTTTATCATGTTTGCTTTATAATTCTCATTCCTCTCATTATTTCTCCCCCTCTAAAATATATATATAAATATAAATATAAATATATATATATATATATCTTTTCTGAACTAGCTGAGAATGTATTATAGATGTAATTGCATACTTTCCAATAAATACTTTAATGTGTATTTCCTAAAAACAAGGATACTCTCTTATATAACCCTAGTGTAATTATTATTTTTAATCAGAAAATTAATATTGATAACTGTTATTACCTACTATGCACACCTAATTCAAATTTTGTCAATTTTCTCACTAACGTTTTTTATAGGAAAAGGAAAAAATTTTCCTCCTGGTCCAAGGTTTAATCCAGGATCATGCATTGCATTTGTCATGTCTCGAGTGTCCTTTAATCTGGAGCAGTTGTTTAGTTTGTCTTTCATGCCTTCCTTTTTTTCAGGACTAGAATATTTATGTCCCTCAGTTGGGGGACCCCTTTACTCTCTTTAACCTCTCCCTTCCTATTCCTCCTCCTTTCGGTTAATCAGAATACTGTTGTCTGTGAAGTTGTTTGTTTTCATTTGTTGCTTTCTACAAGTTTTTTAATTGTATATGTGACTCAACATTATATTTCTATTGAATGGAGCTGCTGTAGAATTCTGGCTAGCACCTGTCTTACTACCGAACTCCTGTCATCTGTTTTTCAGTCTTGTGGTTGGCACATGTTCCATTCTGAATTTTTCTTTCTTGAATCTGTATCTAGAAAGTGTTTCCCAACTTTGTTTTCCTAGTGTCTAGACTTAGGACTTCTGGCTTATTCCATAACTTTAAAGGAAATACTAGGAGTAGGATTGAAATAGGAAGGGAAAGGAACCATGGTATACTTGAAGGCCTAAGCAAGTCATTTTTCCTATCTTCCTGGCATTGTGTGCATGTAGAAAAGTTAATCAGGCACAGGGCCCAAGAATCTAGGTGAGATTGATTTATACTGAAGTTTGAGACCTCCTGCTTTCGGCATTTACTATCAGAGAATGCAGTCACTTCTGAATAAGCTTCATCTTCCTACGAGGTTGTGACTCCTTGAGGGATACATTGGTGTTGACAGTCTCCAAGTTTACCACTTAAACACTTTTTTTCGGTCATTTCCATTTAATCTGTGGTTGAACTTTGGTTTTTAACACACATGCTTACTCACTTGGTTTACTCACATGGTGTACCATCTAGTGGTGATAGACGGTAACTTTCATTCCTCAGTTTAATTCTGTGGTGCTACAGCTATGGGTGGGGAACATCGAACCCTAGGGCCATATTAGGTCCTCAAAATCATTTGGTATGGCCCTTGGCAGAAAAAAGGCTCCCCACCCCTGTCCTTTACTTTGGTGACTTTGAAGGCTATTCAAGGGAACCTGACTGAGAGGAGGAAGCCACATGAATTTTAAATGTATATTTTAACTGACAGTTTTATGTAAAGGTTACGTTTGTGTTATGTGTATAGTTTGTCACACACCAATATTATTTTTTAACTTAAAAAAATAATTTTCATTGATTTCAAAGAAGAAGCGAGAGGGAGAGAGAAATAGAAACATCAATGATAAGAGAGAATCATTGACTAGCTGTCTCTTGCACACCCACCACTGGAGATTGAGCTAGAAAACCAGGCATATGACCTGACTGGGAATCGAACCATGACCACCTGGTTCATAGGTCGACACTCAACCACTTAGCCACATTGGATGGGTTTAAATTTTTTTATTCTTTATTTTTAAATATTTATTAATTAAATTGACATTGGCCAACATGAACGTATAGGTTTTAGATGAGGTTTTCTAAGACCTGTATATCCCACTGTGTTCCCACTACCTCAAATCAAATCTTTTCTTGTCTCCTTAGGATTAGCACCCCCTTTCTATCATTTCTTATAATTATTAGAAAGCTTTATAGTTAATTTTTTATTTTACAAAGTTTATAATTTTTATGACTTTAAGTCATAAATAAGGCAAAACTGTAAAAGAACACAGTGACTGTGAACCATTTAGGGATTAGACTAGAGGCTGTAGATGCCCTCAGATATCATAATCCAGTAGGAGAAATAAAACATGTGGACAGATTTCATTTTGATAATTGTATAGTTAGCAATCTAAGAGGTAGAAGTAAAGCATCATATCTGGAGGAGGCCTTATGAGAAAAGATATCTTCCAAGGTCATCTAATGGCAGCTGTGATGTCAGTCTGCTGTGAAGAGACACTGGCCAAAGCGTTGCTTCTCCCCGGGTGGGAGAGAGCAGGAACAAGGGCTCTGGAGCTGGACTGTCGGCTTCAATATGCCATTTGTGAGCTGTGTGACCTTGGGCAAGTTGTGTATCCTTTGAGTCTAAGTTTTCCATTTTGACAATGTTGGTCTCTTTTCCTCTAGGAAATCTAAGGATATAATCAGCAAAACAACTTCTCACAGTACAAAGTTTTGTGCTGATTTTGATGGCTTATCACAGGAACTCAGACATTTTAACCAAGAAGGTACAAAATTGGTTGAAGAGTGTGCAAAACACTGTGATAAACTCAATCGCAACCTTGAAATAACATCTCATGACATTGAACAGAGATGTGAGGCTCTGAACACAAGCGCGCTTGGTTTTTCTGAGCAGTGGCTATCTGGTTTACATAAAAGGGAAGAGGAAATCCAGAACTTACTGCAGGTAATGACTTTGGAACTGGAACCTACTTGGGGAAAATAGAGATAAATTAAATATTCTTGGCTAAGGACTGGTTTAAAAACAAAAGACATTTAAAAATATAATAAATGACAACATTTTAAAGTATTTTATAGTTAGTATAACTTATATATGGTCTTGTTTCATGTTTTTGTCTCCTAGATCTCAAAATTATTATTTTTATTTTTTAAAATATATTTTATTGATTTTTTACAGAGAGGAAAGGAGAGAGATAGAGAGCCAGAAATGTCAATGAGAGAGAAACATCAACCAGCTGCCTCCTGCACACCCCCCACCGGGGATGTGCCCGCAACCAATGTACATGCCCTTGACCGGAATCGAACCTGGGACCCTTCAGTCCGCAGACTGACGCTCTACCACTGAGCCAAACCGGTTTCGGCAGATCTCAAAATTATTTAATGTTTGATCTGTATCCTTGTTTTTTGACTTGTTAATTTCTTTCAGATAAGGGGACTTTATCTTTTGATGTATAATACCTTCCACTTTTATATGCCTTTTACTTTTCTTCAGTACATTCAAATCTGTTACTGCTTAAAGTATTTAGGATGTTGTTGTTCTGGTTGCTCAGAGGATACTGGATTAGATTTGTAGGTTTGTTTGAACATAACACTTATATGAACCCTTTGTTGGCTTGGTTTTTCATTCTGTGCAATAACAGGATTTCACTAATAATCTTAGGAATTAGTAAAAGAATTTAAGTATTTTCAGCTACATAAGTTATTTTCACTAAAAGGAACCAGGGCTAATGAAGAAATAGCTGTTTTTAGATTTGAAGCAGGAAATGAATCAGATGGCCTAGAGATCTTGTCATACCAAACAATAAGGAAGCTATTGAAGACTAGTGGGGTTATGTCAAGAAGACTTTCATACCTGATGAAATGCCTGTATTTAAAGATGGTGTAATTTGAGCATAGAAAGAGTTTGCTACAATACATTAAAACCCGTGAATTCATAGGCCTTCTTTGGAACATGCTAGGGAAGCAATGCATTATTCTGAAAACTAGTTATAAAGGGAAACAATTGAGTATACATCTGTCTCGAAGGAATTCTGTCTTGGTTTAGCAGGGTAATGGATGGAGAAAAATGTTTTGGTGACTGCACCCAAACCCACTGATTAATCATAACATAAGAAATACAACCAGGTATTATATGCTTTCAGTACTACCCATGAAATATTCTTGCTAAAATATTAAACCTAATTTAGATCAAGCCTTTGGATCTAACTACAGTAGTTTGTAGAAAACACAGAGAACAGCCCTAACTGGTTTGGCAGAAGTGGATAGAGCGTCGGCCTGTGGACTCAGGGTCCCAGGACATACAAACATGAAAATATTGCATAGAGATGCAATTGGCCAAATCCAGAATTTGAGGTCATTCAATAGATAAAAGACCTGGTTTCTTCAACAAGTTATTTTACAAAGAGAAAAGTATGAGGAAGGATAAACCTGCATCAAAAGATTATGAAGACTAGAGGGCTTAAGTCCTAGTTTGTCTGGATTGGTCCTCTTATACATCATTTGTACTAGGAAATAATTAAGAATGGCCCTTTCACTCTGCAAAATATTTCCGTTTGGATGATAAATTATATAGGACCTCCTTGAGACATATCAATGATAATGCTGATTCAAACAAACAAGTTGTGAAAAACACTTGAGGTATTTGATTAGACATTTGATGTAAAGAAACTAGTGTTAAATTTTTTTATGTGAGAATGGCCTTGAAAAGCTCTTTACTTTACAATATATGCTGAAGTAAATGGATGAAATGATACAGGAGCACAAAAGGGGGTGGGGGTATGATTGGGGAGTGGTAGGGGGTTAAATAGGGGGTTGAGGATAAATAATGTGATACCTTAATCAATAAAGAAATTAATTAAAAAAAAATCCCGAGGGGAAAAGGAGTAAATGGACAACCTTATTTGATTAAAACCCCATTTGTTGATAAATGTTATGCATGTGTTTTTAAAACATTTTATAGAAAATATCAAGGTAAGGGGGAAAGATGTATTGAATACAACACTGATAACTTTGATTTTAATAATAAAAGCTCATTTGCATTATTTACAGGTTGTAAACCAAAATTGTGAGGTTTCAAGTTCAGAGATTACTGAAAAATTAAGTGGACATAAAGAAGCTAATGAGAACCACCGTAACAGTTTTCTTGGCCAGATAAATATTGATGAAGAAAAATTAATGGCACAAAGTCTAGAACTTAATGAAACCATAAAAATTGGTTTGACTAAGCTCAACTGCTTTCTGCAACAGGATCTGAAGCTGGATATCCCAACAGGTACTTTAACAGGGAAATAGAATTGGTAAAATTTTTAAAGTTGAATTCAACCTTATATAGTGCCAGATGTTTAGGAAAACTAGATCCTGCCACAGCCTGATAGGAATTTACCATCACATGTAATCAACTCGAATATGGAAATATTAGAACCCTAAAATAGCTTTAAGCATTAAATATAATGATATAGGTAACATATATACTCCTAAAAATTTGGGCATCATAATTCAGCAAAATTTTACTAAAATTTTGGGAACTGGCTTTGACTTAAGAGAGGACATTTTAAAAATAAACAAAATGTTGGCTCAGTGGATAGAGCCTTGGCCTGCGGACTAAAGGGTCCCGGGTTCAATTACAGTCAAGGGCATAATCCTGGTTGTGGGCACATTCCCAGTAGGGGATGTACAGAAGGCAACTGGTTGATGTTTCTCTCTCATCGATGTTTCTGGCTCTCTATGCCTCTTCCTCTCTGTAAAAAATCAATAAAATATATATTTAAAATAAAAACAAAATGAACCATGTATCTAGAACTATAATTTATTGAATTACATTCCTATATTTTTTTGTTCATATAAAAATTAGAGCCTGGCCTGTGTCGCTTAGTGTATTGAGCGTTGACCCATGCACCAAGAGGGCACCAGTTCACTTCCAGTCAGGGCGCATGGGTTGCTTGCTGGGTCCCCAGAGAGGGTGCAGGAGGCAGCTGATCAATGTTGATGTTTCTCATCAATGTTTCTGTCTCCTTGTTCCTTCCTCTCTTTATAAAGCCCATAAAAGCTATTTTAAAAACAATAGAGGAATGTAATTAAATAAGTCTATTTTAATGCAAAGCTTATCGTACTGTGGCATTTCCTTTTTTCCCCTCTTTATATTTCATTATTTTTAAAATTTTATTTTAGAGAATGAGAGAGGAAGAGAAAGAGAAACTTTTATTTGTTGTTCCACTTATTTATGCATTTATTTGTTGAATCTTGTATGTTCCCAGACCAAGGATTGAACCTGCAACCTTGGCATACCGAGGGCTGCATTTTGTTATGTATATCTCTCATTTTGTCATGGACTGTTAGATTGGAATTTATGGACCACTATTTTGGGAGGTCAGAGGTTACAAATGTCACTGTAGGCTATACTGATTCAGGGAAGCCAGTTTGGAAGAAAGTTTAACAAGCTATTTAGCACAGAATGAGTAATTGAGTTATTCATTGGATTGTGGTAAATGTTGCCCACCCTGGAAATTTACTAAAAACTCAGTAAATTTTATGTTAAATAAATCATACTTAAAAGATTTTTTAAAGCAGTTATAAAATGATTTGATGTTAAGTATTTATTCCCCAAGAGTCCTGTAATATTTTTTCAAAAAATTAGGACTATAAATGTTAAGCAAACAAAAAGTAAATGCTCATGTAAATTATGAGAGTATGAGTTCATTATAAAGAAATTTAACTGGTTAATATTTAGCTCCCACCAAATTTACAGTGAAATGATTATCCCTATCAAAGTGATCATGTTGGGAAAACTACTCTTACTCCAAAAATGCTGCCATTTGTCAGAACATTCTGACTGTGAAAATTTATTTTTAATTTTTTAAAAATATATTTCCTATTGATTTTTTACAGAGAGGAAGGGAGAAGGATAGAAAGTTAGGAACATCTAGAAACATCGAAAAGAGAGAAACATTGATTAGCTGCCTCTTGCACATCACCTACTGAGGATGTGCCCGAAACCAAGGTACATGCCCTTGACCGGAATCAAACCTGGGACCCTTCAGTCTGAAGGCCAATGCTCAAGGCACTGAGCCAAACTGGTTAGGGCTGACTCCTTTTAAAGCCTATAACACATAGTTTGTATAGCCTCAGAGATGTAAAAACTTTGTTTTGGGATAGATTGAATCTTGAAAACAAATTGTGTCTATTTAAGATCAGTTGTCAAGTTAGGAAATATTGTTAGTTGTAAGCAATATATTCTAACAGGTGACAAGACTAATATAATTTCTAATAAAAAAATCTTATTTATAACCCACATTTCATTTTTTCCCACTTAAATGTTGTCTACTAAAGGTACAACACCACAGAGGAAAAATTACTTATATCCATCAACACTGGTGAGAACTGAACCACGTGAACTGCTCCTTGATCAGTTGGAAAGGAAACAGCCAGAGCTGTTAACGATGCTAAACTGTTCAGAAAACAATCCAGAAGACACCAGTCAGGTAAAATTTAAAGAATCATAATTTTAGAACTCCTATAGACTTGATGTCATTGATTTCACATGGAGAATTTTATTCTTTTCCTTTTTTTTAATTAAATATATTTTATTGAATTTTTTTTTTTACAGAGAGGAAAGGAGAGGGATAGAGAGCTAGAAACATTGATGAGAGAGAAACATCGATCAGTTGCCTCCTGCACATCCCCTACCAGGGATGTGCCCGCAACCAAGGTACATGCCCTTGACTGGAATCGAACCTGGGACCTTTCAGTCTGCAGGCTGACTATTCTTTTCCTTTCAATTCTACTCTATATCTCATTCATAATAGTTTTCTGACCATTAAATGTGTTTCTTTTAATCTGGACATTTTTTATAATTAGATTAACAGATAAAAATAATATCTCCTTTTTTTAAAATATATATTTTATTGATTTTTTACATAGAGGAAGAGAGAGGGACAGAGAGTTAGAAACATCGATGAGAGAGAAACATCGATCAGCTGCCTCTTGCACACACACCCCCCCCACCCCCCCCACTGGGGATGTGCCCTTGACCGGAATCGAACCTGAGACCTTTCACTTCACAGGCCGACGCTCTATCCACTGAGCCAAACCAGTTAGGGCAATAATATCTACTTTTTAAGTTGTGCTTATGTTCCAGATACGGTTCTAAGCACTGTACATTCACATTTACTGAGTTAATGATTCCCTCAATGACCCTTAGTGGTGGGTGCCAATACTGTTCCCATTTTGTAGGTGAGGAAACTAAGTATTATACAGTCCCGAGTCACAAGGATGGAGTTGCAGTTAGAACCTAAGCAAGCACCACAATCCGTACTCTGAAATACACTGATTATAGAATACTTGGGAAATCAAAAGGGACAAAGGAAAATAAAAAAGCACTATAATCCCATTATTCTGAGAATACCACTTTTAACCTTTTTTTTAAAGGTGCTTCTCTATATGAAAGCATTAAGGATTATTTCATTATTTTGTGGCCTTTCTACTAATTTTGTTGAGGGTTAACTTAAACAGTGGATATTGTATTGTTTTGTTTTTTAATCCTTACCCAAGGAGTGAGGATATTTTTCCCTTTGATTTTTTTTTTCTTTTTCTTTTTTTTCTTAAGAGTGGAAGGGAAGAGGGGTGCGAACGGGGAGGGAGGAAACATTGATTGGTTGCCTCCCGCTAGAGCTTCGCCTGGGACTGGGAATTAAACTTGCAACCAAGGTATGTGCCCTTGACAGGGAATCGAATCTGTGACCTTTCAGTCTGTGGGCTGATGCTCTAACCACTGAGCAAGCCAGAGCTATTGTGTTATTTTCAAAGAAGAAGACTCCCTTGACTTTTGGGAAGATTGTTAAGCCCTTGGACTTAATCACCGACCCAGCTTCTTATTTTAGGACTCGGAAGAAGAAAAGGCAGTTCTGGAGCACACTATTGAAGAACCTGTAAATCAAGAGCCACCTGTAGATGCTAGTGTGGATTGTTCCTCAAGTACAGGGGTCCCGTTTTTCCAGGTACCTGATTATATCCTGTCAGATAACCCTTCCACTTCTGGTATAAGTCTGTCATTGCTAGTCAACATAAAGGCATTGCTCTTGGTAGGTCTTACAGCAAAATATTTTCAGCCATTTGAAATGGCTTGTTAATTTCTCTGATTTAAATTATTTTCACAAATTTGTAACCAGAGTTTTCTGTAGGATAAATAAAGGTTAAATTTGACTTACTCTCCATCTTCAGTTGGTAATCTCCAACTGTCTCTTTCTGCCTCTGACATACTCAGAATGGAGATCGAGAGCAGTCGCTTCCCTTCCCTCCACCTTTGACCTGGAAGTCGTGGAGCCTTTCTCTGCCCAGAATCAGACTGAGAGCTATGAGGTTTAACAGACTGAGAGACTCGAGTTACATTAGTGCTTTCTTCTGCTGAGGCTTTGGCCATGTTAACAATTCCCCCGTGTTTCCTGAGCTCCTTGTGGGCCTTGATCTTGTGCAGTTAAATCCTGTAATGTCTCTTACCCCCTTTTATTTATTTATTTTTATTTATTTATTTTTTTAAAATATATTTTATTGATTTTTTACAGAGAGGAAAGGAGAGAGCTAGAAACGTTGATGAGAAGATGAGAGAGAAACATCAACCAGCTGCCTCTTGCACACTTCCTACCGGGGATGTGCCCACAACCAACATACATGCCCTTGACCAGAATCGAACCTGGGACCTTTCAGTCCGCAGACCGACGCTCTACCACTGAGCCAAACCCGTTTTGGCTCTTACCCCCTTTTATTTATTTTTATTGTTTTTTTTGATCCTCACTGAGGATATTTTTCCATTGATTTTTAGAGAAAGTGGAAGAGAGAGGGAAAGACAAAGAGAATTTGAGAGAAATACATCGATTGGTTGCTTCCTGCACATGTCCTGACCAGGGTTGGGCTGGGGAGGGACCTGTAAGCTAACCGAGGAATGTGTCCTTGACCGGAATCGAACCCTGCAGAACCCTGGTCTGCAGGCCGACGCTCTATCCACTGAGCCAAACCGGCTAGGTCTTTTACTCCCTTTTAAGCCCTTTTGGGAGTATGGCACTATAAACTGCCTAGCACATTTCACCTGTTTTGAAGACGTGAGCCTAGAGTCCAGTCTGTGAAGTAAGGACTCCCTTACATAGGACATGGATGGCTCGGTTTTACAGTTGAAGTGCTGCTCTGACATGTATATACTTATACTGTGTCTGACAGACTTGCAGGTCTTTCCACCAACGTCTGAAGATTCCATCCCTAATTTAAAAAAATACATATTTTTATTGATTTCAGAGAGGAATGGAAAGGAAGAGAGAGATAGAAACATAAATGATAAGAGAGAATCATTGATTGGCTGCCTTCTGCATGCCCCCCACAGGGGATTGAGCCCACAACCTGGCGTGTGCCCTGACTGGGAATCAAATCCTGACCTGGTTCATGAGTCAACGCTCAACCACTGAGCCATGCCAGCCGGGCTCCATCCCTAAGTTAAGCTGTTAAAACTTCTAGCTTAGATTCTATTAAGTTCCTCTCTGTCAGCCTTAAGGCAATTTCATCCCCAAATTTTTTCTCTTGCTTTATTCTTTACTATATCTTTTTCCATTTTTCAATCCTCTCTTCCATCTTACAAAGTTAAGAAAAGGGGGAGAGTTAAAAGGAGATAATTACTTTTGGAAATCGGTTCATTATTATTGTTTAACCAGGCTTAGTGGTTCAGCTATGGTAAGGAAATCCCTACAGTACTGGGAAAATTTGGAATTGGATTTTAGGCCTTTAGCTAAAGGCCTGAAATTATTTTCCCCCTGATAGCATTCTTTTGGGAAGGAGGTGAATTTTCTGGGTTTAAAACTCTATAAAATAGTTTACGATTTGTCTCAGCATTGATAACTAGATCTACAACGATTATCAGCCATCTCTTAAAGCAAGTATGAAGATTTCAATGAAATATACATCTCCAAATGAAATTGGTTTAAATAAAAGATAAAGTTGGAAAAAAAAATGTCTTAAGATAGCCCATATACATCAGATTCTCTGTTTAAAATAGTATTGCCTTTTTTTTTGCATGATAGCAAATCTTTGTTTTCCCAGGATTTCTTCACAGCAGCACTATTGACATTATTAAGCTGGATAGTTCTTATTTGTGGTGGCTGGTCCTCTGTGCCGTGTATTTTATAATATTTAGCAGTATTTCTGGCTTCTACCCATTAGGAGCCAGTAGCATCCCCTAGTTTAACAACCAAAAATGCCTTCGGGCATTATGAACTGTCTCCTAGGTTGGGGGAGAAGGAGCAAAATTGCTCCCTCTTGAGAATCACTATTCTACAGTAAAATCTGTGAGTATGCTTTGGAATATCATATGGAAAATTAATACAGTGGTGCCTCGCATAAAGAACGCCTCGCACAGTGAATGCTGCACACAACGAACTTCATTTCATGATTCATACGACGAACTTCGTTTCACACAACGAAGTCGCCCGAGCTTCCACGACCGCTTCGCCTGAGCTTCCACGATCGCTGCCGATGTATTGCATCCTTCCGCGCAGGCACTGCAGGCAGTTGTTAGTCACTGCGCTTAACTTAAGCACGTATCGCGGCAATCGTTCTTCATTACGAATTAAATCACGCACGTATCACGGCAGTCGTCCTTTTAAGTTAAACTCAATATTTTTTTTATATCATGATGTATCTAAATAAAAATAATAACAAAAAATTTATCTTTTTTTATGTCATCTTAGCATATTTTATGCTACAGAACGAATTATTTTTTTTAACATGTATTGTTATGGGAAAACGCGTTTCACATAACGAACTTTTCGCATAACAAACTTGCTCCTGGAACGAATTAAGTTCGTTGTGTGAGGCACCACTGTATTTCTTTCCACTCCTTCCATTGGTGGTAAATGAAGCAGGCATTCATTTCTATTTGTCAGATTGATTGTTAGTTCAGATTTGTGCTGAGTCTTTTTGGAAGTTCTCTCCACACTTAATTTCTTTGCTATAATCCATAGAACTTTGAAAATATGAGAATAGCTAATAGGTATCAAATGTTACTTTACATTGACTTAATTTATCTCCTTAAATCTACAGCATAAAAAATCGTATGGAAAAGACAAAGAAAACAGAGGCATTAATCCAGTGGAGAGGTCTAAAGTAGAAGAAACTACTGAACAATCTGTTACAAGAAGCAGATTACCTCTACGAGCCCAGATAAATCTTTAGTTAACTCGAGGGTTTTAAATTTTATTTTTAATAAAAATGAAAAAATAAACCCTGTAACTCGAACCTTGAGCCTTGTGTATAGATTAAAAACAAACAGAAAATATCAAGGCAATATTGTAAATTTAGTTGAATTTAATATGTGTTCCCATTTTTTCTGTCATTCCTCTGTAGTTCACTGTGTATTAAGTTGGGTTTCATTTGGGATTTGCATTGAGTAAACTTTCCTTTTATAACATGAAAAATATTTTTGTCTATTACTAAATAGCAAATGTATAGGAGCTGCACTATTCTTCTAGGCTTGAATGGCAACATCACCAATGCTTGGTCTTGGGGAGGACCATCTCCTTTCTTTTATCTTATTTTTTTACTATGATTGAATTATGTCTATATTTGCTCGCCTCCTTCCTTAGACTTTGCCACTCTGCCTTAAGTTCCCTTTCTCCCGTTTTATTTGTCAATAAACCATTTGTAGAGCTCCAGATTGGTATCCATTTATTATGAGATAGCCAGAATTTTACCTTGCTATCTTTATTACTTTTTTTATGGTTATCTCTAAAATCACTGTCAACAATAAACATAACCCAAGAAGGTCCTTTCAATATTTTTAAGTTGTTACCCCCTAGATATGCGTTTCCTTTCTGAGGCCTAACACATGAGCCTCCACAGAGTTCATAAAAATCCCGATTTTTAGAATATAGATTGCTGTTTTGGGAGAACTACCTAAATCTCTGATTAATGACTGTGTGATCCCATTTTAATGCCTGTGTCTTACACAGAAATTCACGGTGGTTTAAGGGCTTTTTGACGTTATTAATTATGACTATAACTTGTATTCTTTTGTTTACTTGATAAAACTGTTGTTCTTTGTATATAATAAAATATGCATATGTGTATTTTTTTTCTATTGAAATCTTAATCTTTAGAAGAGCTTTGATAATTTTTATCTGGCAACCATATTTCTGGAAGTTGAGCTATTTCAACATGAAGAACCAGAACACTTAGAAGGAATTAACTAGTCCTTCTTTATCCACAGTTTTGCTTTGTGGTTTCCTTCACAGTTAACCACTGTCTGAAAATATTAAATGGAAAATTTAAGAAATAAACAATTCATAACTTTTTAACTTGCGCGCCTTTCTGAGTAGCATGGTGAAATTTTGCGCCGCCCTATTCCATCCCACTTAGGGTGTAAATCGTCTTTGTCCAGCATGCCCGGTAGTGTCCGCGATGAGATTGCTGCCATGTAGCGGTGCTTGTTTGTGAGTAACCCTTACTTTTCTTACTGTCCTCAAGGTGAAAGAGTACTGATGCTGGCAATTTGGATATGCTAAAGAGAAGCCGTAAAGTGCATCCTATAGTGAAAAGTTTTCAACATTATAAGGAAAAATATATTCTGAGGTTACTAAGATCCATGGTTACAAATTTTATCTGTGAAATTGTAAAGAAGGAAAGAGAAATTTGTGCTAGTTTTGCTGTACCTCAAAAACTGCACAAGTTATGGCCACAGACAGTGCTTGATAAGTGCTTATTTAAGATGGAGAAGGCATTAAATTTGTGGGTTGAAGACATGAACAGCAAATGTGTCAGAAAACATTGAGCCTATACGAACTCTTTAAGAGATCTTCTGAATGGATAACACCAAGCTATTTACTGCAAACCAGGGATGGTTACATATTTAGGAATAGGTTTTGGTCTGAAAGATAAAAGAATGACTCGAGAGGCTGCTGATGAAGCTGCCGCCAAATTTCTGGCAGAGTTGAAGTTGATGAGATTCCGTTTCAGAGCATCCTCTGGGGGTGGTGGAATGTTCCCCCGCAGGTAAGGGGGGACTACTTTATGCACAGTGAATTTTGTGCCCAAGTGAAGTGTACGTTTAGAAAGGTTTGACTTTGATAGCTAAATAGAACCAAATCCTACTGGAGAATTAGAAAATGGGCTATTTCAAGAAATAAATTTATCTTGCAGAGGTGTTATCTTTTTAAAAATGGTATTTCTCTACAAAAGCAGATGTCAACATAAGCTGTGGATAATACCTAGTAAAATAAATCGCTCTCAGTAAATCCATGATTAAGAAATTTGGTTTTTCCATGAACTTGCTTGCCCCATTATTTCTTACTTGGCAACAGGTATATTTTCAGAGTTATGCAAATTGTATTAAAATTTCTAAGATAAACTTCTATACAGAAACCAGCAAAGGAAGAAAGGCCTTGGAAAAACCCCAGGCTTTAGTTCCATTCCAGAGGGCTACACCGTGGTGTAAGAGGAATGAGAAATAGATTGGTTCTGACGTCCAGCCATGTCTGCTCATTCCCTATTTGAAAGTTATCCAGGAAAGCTGATGCAACTGGTTTAATTACCTGACAGAAGCAAAAATAAATATCTGAAGGATTTAAACATCCAGAGTTTTTTAAAAATATATATTTTATTGATTTTGTACAGAGAGAAAGGGAGAGAGAGAGAGAGTTAGAAACATCGATGAGAGAGAATCATTGATCAGCTGCCTCTTGCACACCCCCTACTGGGGATGTGCCTGCAACCCAGGTACATGCCCTCGACCGGAATGGAAGCCAGGACTTTTCAGTCCCCAAGCCGATGCTCTATCGTCTATCCATTGAGCCAAACCGGTTTTGGCAAACATCCAGAGTCTTAAATTAGCTCGACAAAGTTACATGTGCCGTGTCAAAAAATGACCATTGGCACAAATAGATAGCTTCAAGGACCCCTTCCACCTTAGAAGTAAAAAAAAAAAAAAAATCAGAAACAACCTTGTCAGAATTCTGGGAACATTTACAGCAACCAAAAAATGCTGAGTCAAGAAAAAGGTAAGCTAAAAACTAGGCAAGCTTTTTAGTGTTTTATATGCCCTTGTTCCATCCCCTCCCCAGCCCATGTTTTCGGAGTGACACCTTGGTTCCTGGTCCCAAGGAAGCGGATCTGATCATCTGAAATAATTGTTCTAACCCATCTGACGCCTCTTGTAGGAGTGAAGTAAGGCACTTTGCTTTGTTTCATCTAACTCGGAACTTGTGGGTGAAAGTGGCAGGCATTTCTTTAAAATACTGTAAGGCAAATGAACAACCTGCTGCCTCCTGGGGCAAAGGATTACAGTAAATAAAGGAGTGCCAACATCTGAGGAGAAAATAGGAGAGAGCTTATTAAAGGAAAGTAGGCCATTCAAAAACCATTGTATACCGGGGGATTGGAAAGCCCTTTATGTTCGGGCCAGGTTGCGTGCATGAGAAAGACCCTAAGCTTTTGCTGCTGCCTGATACTTAGGATCAGTACAAGCAGTAAGTGATAACTAAGGCAGATTGAAATGGCCTGCCCAGGCATTTGAAGGTGTGCTCCGACACAGCCAATAGGCAAAGACGGAGGCCTTTTTGTTTTTTAAGATTTCTGGTTTAGTCATTTAAAAAATATTTTTTTATTTTATTGATTTCAGAGAGGAAGAGAGAAACATCAATGATGAGAATCATTGATTGGCTGCCTCCTGCATGCTCCCTACTGGGGATTGAGCCCACAACCCAGGCAAATACCCTTTACCAGAATCGAACCCAGGACCCTTCAGTCCACAGGCTGATTGCTCTATCCACTGAGCAAAACCAGCCAGGGCTTGTTTTAGTAATTTTTTAGGCTACTGGCATTTAAAAAAATGTCAACGCATTAGCTGAACATAAGCAAAAGGAAGAGACTTAGGAAACTACATAAGTCAAAGAATTGAGAATTTATACACACACACACACAAAGTAAAAAGTTTGCAAAAGTCACTAAACAAATTGGTACAGCTCACAGTAAGCAACAAAAACCCTAGGCGTGAAGAAAAAAAAAAAGATTTCCAGCGTTACGACATAATATTCAAAATGTTTTATTTTCAACCAAAAACTAAGAAGCATGCAAAGAAACAAAGTATGGCCCATTCAAAGGAGAAATTACAGAAACCATCCCTACAGAAGCACAAACATTGGACTTTAAGTTAACTGACTCAAATATGCTCATAGAGTTAAAGGAATCCAGGAGAACAAACAGAGGATATCAATAAATAAATCTTTAAAAACCATACAAGTTTTGACCAGTGTGGAGCAGTTGGTTGGGCATCATCGTGTGCACAGAAAGTTTGCTGGTTCAATTTCCGGTCTGGTCCCATACCCAGGATGACGGGCTGATCCCTGGCAGGGGGCGTGCAGGAGGCAGCCCATTGATGATCTCACATTGTTTCTCTCACTCTTCTCTCTCTAGAAAATCACTAAGAAAAATTTTTTTTAAAAAACACCATGCAAATTGATTGGGAGCTGAAAGTTCTAACTGAAATAAAATAAGTCACTAGAGCGTTCCAATAGATGTGAGCCGAATAAACTTGAAGCTAGGTAAGTTGAAAATGTCCTGTTGGAATAGCAGAAAGAGAGGAAAGTCTGAAGGATCACCAAATAGAGCCCAAGAGATCTATGGAGCACAATGCAGCATACTGACCTGTGCAAAAAGGGGAGTACCAAAGGAGAGAAAGGGGCAAAAAGAATACTTGAAGAAATAATGGCTGCAAACTTCTCAAATTTCTTAAACCACTTCAATCTCAACATCCAAGCAGCTCAACAAAGCCAAACTGAATAGAATAAACTCAGAGACCCATAAGACATGATAATCAGATTGTCAGAAGCTGAAGACAGAATCTTGTAAACAGCAACAGGGTAATTTTCAGGATAATGCAAATCAAAACCACAACGAGATACCATTTTACACCCACAAGGATAGCTATAGTGAAAAAATAAAGTGTTGAAGTTTACAACAGAAATTCTTGTACAATGTTGGGAATGTAAAACGGATCAGCCACTGTGGAAAAGCGTGGCGGTTCCTAAAAAAGTGAAACTATCACCACATGACCCAACACTTCCACTCCTATGTGTCTACCCAAGAATCAGAAAAAAAATTCCTCCACACAAATATTTGTACACAAATATTCATAGCAGCACTATCATAATAGTCCAATGGTATTAACAGCCTTAGCGTTCATCATGTATGAACGGGTAAACAAAAGAAGTAAATACAATGGGTTATTACTCAGCCATAAAAATAAAGTATGGATACATGCTACTATTTGGATGAACATTGACAATAAAATGTTAGCCCTAATTGGTTTGGCTCAGTGGATAGAGCATCAGCTTGTGGACTGAAGGGTCCCGGGTTCGATTCCGGTCAAGGGCATGTATAATACCTTGGTTGCGGGCACATCCCCAGCGGGGGTTGTGCAAGAGGCAGCTGATCGATGACTCTCTCTCATCGATGTTTCTAACTCTCTATCCTCTCTGTGAAAAATAAATAAAATATATTTAAAAACAAAAACAAAAAAACAGAAGTACATTTGAGAAATTCACAAACATGAGCAAAATAGACAACACACTACTAAATAACCAATGATCAAAGAAGTTACAAGAGAAGTTAGAAAATATTTTGAGGTGAATGAAAACAAATACACAACATACCAAAACATATGGGATGTCGATAAACAGTTTTAGAAGGAAACTTACAGTGGTCTATGCCTCCATTTATTCCCAACTTTTTTAGCTCTGGGCAACCACTCATCTGCTTTCTATCTCTATAGATTTGTCTGTTCTGGACATTTCATATCAATGCAATCATCAACTATATGGTCTATTGTGTCTGTCTTCTTTCACTCAGCGTAATACTTTCAAAGTTCATCCACAATGTTCATCCATGTCTTAGTACTTTATTCCTTGTTTTCTTTTAAAAAAAACACACAAAACCAACTTTAAAATAATTTATTTTTAGAGAGAGGAAGGGAAAGAGAGAAACAGCGATGTGAGAACAAAACAATGATCGGCTGCCTCTTGCACACCTCCTACCTGGGCATGTGCCCTGATTGGGATTCAAACCAGCAACCTTTCCATGCATGGGACGACGTCCAATCTACGGAGTCACACCGGCCAGGGTGTGTTCTTTCATATCTATATACATCAAAGGCGAATATGCTAAGTGTCCATCCAGGTAATGACAT